AGATTTTTTTGGACTAGAGTGGATGCCTCATTGTGGAATGGAACAGGCTGCTGCTCTCACTGCCACAAATATCGTTTCATTTCCGCGTTCACCTGTACTTACCAGGACATTTCGTAACGTGATGTTTTTTTCCGAGGAGAGAAGAGGTTTAGAGGCCTTTGTGGACGCTCTGACCCGACATATACAGTATTCAGTATTTAATGTATATACTGTATACATATATGCAGTATCTCAGGGCTGGGAAATAGTAACAATGTGACGAGAGTATAGCTGTATATGGGACACAATTTAATATTATTGCTGATTCATACCAGAGAGAGACAAGAGAGAGACAAGAGAGAGACCAGTGAGAGAGACCAGAGGGAGACCAGAGAGAGACTAGAGAGAGACCAAGAGAGAGACCAGAGAGAGAGACCAGAGGGAGACCAGAGAGAGACTAGAGAGAGACAAGAGAGAGACCAGAGAGAGAGACCAGAGGGAGACCAGAGAGAGACAAGAGAGAGACCAGAGAGAGACCATAGAGAGACTAGAGAGAGAGTCCAGAGAGATACCAGAGAGAGAGACCAGAGAGAGAGACCATAGAGAGACCATAGAGAGACCGGAGAGAGAGATCGGAGAGAGAGACCATAGAGAGACCAGAGAGAGACCAGAGAGAGAGATCGGAGAGAGACAGAGAGAGCGATCAGAGAGGGACCTTAGAGAGAGAGAGACCAGAGAGAGACCATAGAGAAACCAAAGAGCGAGACCAGAGAGACCAGAGAGAAAGAGAGAGAGACCAGAGAGAGACCTGATAGAGACCAGAGATAACCCAAAGAGAAAGAGAGACCAAGGAGAGTCCGAAAAGAGACCAGGGAGAAACCAAAGAGAGAGACCATGAGATCAGAGAGAAAGACTAAAGAGAAACAGCAAGAATTACAATATTTCATAGAGTCACAACAAGCGGACGTCATCGAGGAACGTAAACCTCAGATGGAAATGACCAGAAACTCAGAGAAATCATAAAAGCAAAAAAAAGATGATTATTTTATTGAATAATGTGATAATTTGCTTTACTGTTTCCATTTAACTGTGTTTTCAAAATATCCCGAAACTGAACAGAACACATTTTTTTCCCATCACGACAGTAGGACCCAGAATACACACACAGAGAATTCCATGTTGTGCCTCCTCAGCTGTTTGTCTTTTTGCTTTTCAAGATTCCCGGGATTTTTAACATGTACCTTTGTTGTCACCAGGAATTCCAAGTCAAAGTGGACCATGTGGAAAACACCATGAAGCAAGCTCTGGAAACTTCCCAGCGGTTGATTGGTCGACTGGAGCAGAGGGCTGCGAGCATGGTCCAATCCCACGCCAGTCTCTTGTCACATGATGTTTGGATCCTGAGGCGTCTTTGGCAGGTTCATAAGAAACATCTGCAGGTGATTAATGGCAGGGGTGTCCAAACATTTTAGTGAGAGGCCACTTTAGTCCAAGGGCCAACGTCACTGAAAAACTGTCTTGACAGACATCGGGCTGTTCTGAGCTTTAAAATTATCTATCAAAAAGCTGAAGTTGGCTGAATGACAAATGTCTACCATCTACTGGGCTTTACAACATGTCTACAATGTCTGAGCTGAAGTTGGATGGATGACACAGTAAACTTGTGTTCATGATCTCAAAGACAACTTTGGGTTAGTGAGGCAGAGGGCCACATACAATGAGACTGAGGGCCGCAATTTGCCCCTGGGCCTGAGTTTGGACATGTCTGATCTATGGTCTCTCTCTGGTCTCTCTTGTCTCTCGTTCTGATCTCTCTGGTCTCTCTCTCTGGTGTCTCTTTTGTCTCTCTCTGGTCTCTCTCTGGTCTCTCTCTGGTCTCTCTTGTCTCTCTTTCTGATCTCTGGTCTCTCTCTCTGGTGTCTCTTTTGTCTCTCTGGTCTCTCTCTGGTCTCGCTTTGGTCTCTCTCTGGTCTCTCTCTGGTCTCTCTCTGGTCTCTCTTGTCTCTCTTTCTGATCTCTTTGGTCTGAGATTTTGGCCAGTAGAGAGGACTTTCAGACATAAGAATAATTTTTAATAACCAGATCCTGTCAGACTTCTGAGGCTAAGCAGCCCAAGGCCTGGTTAGTTCTGTGATGGGAGACCTTAAGCAAGACTGCTTCTCATGAGTGAGAAGCAGTCTCGGCAGTGAGACTCATTCTCACTGCCGAGAATGAGTCTGAGGTCGGAGGGGCTGATGGCTCACACTGGCTGCCTCACTACTGTCAGTGTGCCCCGGGCAGCTGTGGCTACAGTAGTTTCTCACCACTGTGTTTGTAGTGAAAGAGTGATCCTGTTTAGCCTCTGAGTGTCCAAATCAGCTCTGTACAAAACCGATACATTATGATGATCTGGGAAAACCCTTTGCTCTGCTCTTGCAATGTCCGGTGTCAGCGGACATAACCACACGTTATAGACAATATTGTTGCCAAATACTTGAGAAAAAAGGTTGCAGCAGCAGAAAAAAGTACATATATTTACTAGTGCTGTCCAAAATATCGCGTTATTAACGCGTTAACGCAAATCAATATTAACGGCGTCATTTTTTTTATCGCACAATAAATTTTTATTATTATTATAAAAAAATAAAAAAATATATTATTATTTTTTTTTTTTTTTACTTTTTATTGCAGACAAACACATATACAGAAAAAAAAATAGAAACAAAGAAAAGGACTAGTTCAGATACATAGGGCACTGTCCGGTTTCCGAAATGTGCTAAAAATAGCTCAGATGACTGCGCATGCGCGCATGTTTCGGACAAACATTGTGTACGACTCGTTGAGTTCTACTGTGTTCTCCTCATACGCGTGTGTATTTATTTGGGCTAAATCATTGAATCATGGTGACAACAAAACACTGCAGTTATGGTGCTTGTCGGAGCGATTTCAGATACTCTGAAAAGGACTATATGAAAGTAACATTCAACCCGTTCGTTAAACCACAACATCGGACCAGACCAGGACCAGACCAGGACCAGATCAGACCAGGTGGGTTGCTTGTGGTCGGCAGAATTTCTCTCATGAAAAGGTTAAAAAGGGCACATGTTTTTTCAAAACACTTCGCTGGACCAACTGTGGAGCATCCAGATCCAGTCCTAGCTACGTTTAGCTGGGACTGGATCTGGACCGCTGTATCAGGTCCGTCTGAGCTCTTCTGAATGTAGTTAGCCCCATCAATCCATATTAGTATTGTTTGTCCTAATCCAGAAAATACATTCTCACCAGAAATATATTTTTTTCAACTTTGTGTCTGCTTATTATACGGCTTTGTACCTGAACACACAAAATAAAGTCATTCACTATCATGAGAAAGGTTTATTTTTGAGTGCAAAGAAAAACTTTGTGTGGCAGGCGAGTAACAGTGAGGATAGTTACCTACGATCGCTTTGTACCATTAAAAAATTGATTTTGTCATGAAAACCACAGTTAATTCTGAAAACCTCCGTGCACTTGTGTTATGAATGTGTATAATGTATTCTCCCATTAACATTTAAATGTGTTGATTGATTGTCATTTGCGTTTACTGAGTGTGGCTAGCTCTGATAGTTTCTCTCAGAGACAGTGGCGTAACCCGTTGTGATCATGGATTTATTATAATATCAGCTGACTGTAGCTAACTAATGATCAAACTAATTACAAAGTGGATAGTGCAAAAACAACTTGATAAATGGAAGTTAATCACAGCAAAACAAACAAAGAAGGCGCTAACATTGCAATTTAAATGACTAGATAATGTTAGCATAATCCTCACCATTATCTTCTTATCAAATCAAACTTTCTACCAGTTACTGGAAGACCACGACATTCAAGCCAACGTTTTAATTGGTCTACACTATGATCCCTGATGGTTTGATGGTGGAATTTTGCCCCTGGTATATCATTTTCGTCTAAAGTGACAAGTGGTATTTGATTCATTTCGGCAGTGTTTGTCCGAAACATGTGGGCGGGAGTTGACAGGCGGCGGGGGCGTGTCTTAGTGACGTCATTTAGATAGTTCGCTATAGTAGACAGAGATTACAAACAATATGTAGTTGGAGATACAGGGGGCCAAAGAAGAAACCCAGAAGGGCACATAGGAGGGGGGGGGGGGGGGGGGGGGGGGGACATGAAGTGGGAGATGGGGGGGAGGGGTTAATAAAAAAGGCAATACAAGCAAACAGTATACAGTCATAGATATACTGAAAGTAAACAGAGAAATAGCATAGAGTATTTACATAAACAAATTTACAAAATATTTACAGATTGTTTATCATCATCATAATGACACCATGATGTTTCTATACAGTCTATGGTCTATACCCACACATACACACACACACACACACCCACACCCATAAACACACACACTCCACACACACACACACACACACACACACACACACACACACATTGAAGGGGCTTTTTGTTACCAATTATTTATTTTGTCATCCATTTATTGATGATTTTGCATCAAATGTTAGTGTGTAATATAACACTACACATTGTTTTCAATAAAAAAAGCAATTGCACACAGCACGCAAATGTATGACTAATTTGCGATTAATCGCGAGTTAACTATGAAATTCATGCGATTAATCGCGATTAAATATTTTAATCGTTGGACAGCACTAATAATTACATAACTTACACACAGACAGAGAACAGATTTATTGGTTTAAGATCCTAATGGAAACATGGAAAAATTAGTTCTTATATCTGTTAGTTCTGCACCTGGTAGCACTATATCTGCATCCAGATGGTACATGATGGTACAGGGGACTTATGGTCATACATATTCTCTATAATACCTGTATATACTCTTTTAAAAATGACATACCATTGAAGTTACTGAGCTCAGTAGACCTAATAATATAATATCGTTGATAATACTGTCAATATTTTTCTTCTAGGATGACATAGGTCAACGGGATCTATTTATCGAACGATTGGAAAGACTTGAAAATAAAATCAAAGAACAAGAAGAGCAGATGCATGGATTAGAAGCCGTCGATGCAAACGTACAAACCTCTTTTCTGCATCATTTCGAGTCCCGTTCTTTGAAAACGGATTAAAAAACATGTGATAACTTTGCTCTGTTCATTTGCTGCAGTTTTTCTCAGAACTCTCGGATTTGTTTTCGTCCATGTTTGACGTCAGCGAGATGAGAGCGGACCTGAGCCTGAGCCGCGGGGACAGAGAGAGACTTAAGAGAGTCCAGAGATCCTGTGTGGACCAGCAAACACAAGGACTGGAGCTGTACAAGTAAGACACGGCTGTGGATGGTCTGAGACTGAACGGATGGATACATGCTAATACTATGATATGCTAACACGCTAGCCTTCAACTCCTAAACAAATCTGTGGTTTAGCGCTCTCAGTGTCTCTGGTCTCGCTCTGGTCTCTCTCTAATCTCGCTCTGGTGTCTCTAGTCTCTAGTGTCTCTCTAGTTTCTCTGGTTTCGCTCCCTTTCTGCTCTCTCTCTGGTCTCTCTCTGGTCCCTCTGATCTCTCTCTCTGGTCTATCTCTCTGATCTGACTTACATGTCAATAGGAGCCAGACTAAAACAGAGGTAAAGAATATCTAACATCAAAGCAGAGGCCAGATTTATTGCAGACCTTTAGATCACTTAAAATGAACTGGCATAATGGTCAATGAGCCGTGTCCACTTGACACATCCACCTTTGAAGAAGACGCACTCACACACACACACACACACACACACACTATAATAAAACGTGCTTAAACACATACAATCTGAGATATTTCTGCAGTTTTGGTAATTTCTCTGTGTAGATTATGATCGGTGATGTCTGTGATTGCAAATGGTTATCTACAAATTTGTAAAAACAAAAAATCAGCCTTCCCTCTGGTGGCCGCAGAGAGAGTTACAGGCGAATACAATCGTTAACCTTGGATTTTTGTTTCCCCTCATGACAAAGTAAATAGCCTCATTATCACAAATATAATTGTGTATTTATTTGCTGCATTTAAATATCTATCCATCTATCATTTCTAGCCTTAAAACTATCCATGATATGTGTTCTTTAAAGTGCTTGTGCTGTTGCAGGCGCCTGTGCTCCCGACATCACGACTCTCTGGACTTCGGTGGAAAATGTCAAGCGCTAACGGAGATTCTGGAAACACTGAAGCAAGGATCAGAACCGAGACTCGTTCAGGATTACTGCAGCCTCAAACAGATGGCGACAGTCCACCAGGTTAGTACACCTCTGAAGCTAAGCAGGGCAGGGTGTGGTTAGTACTGTGATGGGAGACCTCCGGGAAACCACAGTGGGTCCTTCGGCAAGACACTTCCCCCACATTAGAAGGAGTCTGGTGTGTGTGTGAATGGTTGGTGGTGGTGGGAGGGGCCGATGGCACAGACGAGTTGCCTCGCTTTTGTCAGTGTGCCCCAGGGCAGCTGTGGCTACACCAGTTTATCACCACTGTATGGCGTGAACGATATTTTTATTCAAAGTATTTTCCTGTGAATGAATTAAGTTTGTTTTTGTTGTATTTTTATTTCTTCTAGAGTCTTCAAAGAGACGTTGAGGTTGGACATCAGCTTCTGCATGGACTCATGTGTGACGCTGTGACACTGGGGTAAGGAGAGAAAACCAAATTCTAGATTTTATTGGCCATTTGCACTAAAACCACATTGGAAAAACTGTACAAGACCATTATAGAGTACAGTAGAGGCTTTTGTGAACTAAAACAATGATCTTAGACTTAAAAACATGTGTCTTTAGCGTATGTGTAAGAAAGATCCCTGTCAGTCACAATTTCTTTCTGGTCTCTCTCTGGTCTTTCCCTGGTCCCTCTTGTCTCTCTCTGGTCTCTCTCTGGTCTCTCTCTGGTCTCTCTCTGGTCTCTCTCTGGTCTCTCGCTGGTCTCTCTCTCTAGTCTCTCTCTGGTCTCTCTCTGGTCTCTCTCTGGTCTCTCTCTGGTCTCTCCCTCTAGTCTCTCTCTGGTCTCTCTCTGGTCTCTCTCTGGTCTCTCTCTCTAGTCTCTCTCTGGTCTCTCTCTGGTCTCTCTCTGGTCTCTCCCTCTAGTCTCTCTCTTGTCTCTCTCTGGTCTCTCTCTGGTCTCTCTCTCTAGTCTCTCTCTGGTCTCTCTCTGGTCTCTCTCTGGTCTCTCTCTGGTCCCTCTTGTCTCTCTCTGGTCTCTCTCTGGTCTCTCTCTCTGGTCTCTCTCTGGTCCCTCTTGTCTCTCTCTGGTCTCTCTCTCTGGTCTCTCTCTGGTCCCTCTTGTCTCTCTCTGGTCTCTCTCTGGTCTCTCTGTGGTCTCTCTCTGGTCTCTTTCTGGTCTCTCTCTGGTCTCTCTCTGGTCTCTCTCTCTGGTGTCTCTCTAGTCACTCTCTGGTCTCTCTCCCGTCTCTCTCTGGTCTCTCTTTCTTGACTCTTTTACATCCCAGAGCAATCGTTATGTAGCCATATTTGTTCGCTATGGCCTTTTCTCCCGGTGCTGGTCCTGGACTGGTTCCGGTTCTGGTTCAGTTATATAAGATAAGATAAACTTTAATGATATCACAATGGAGAAATGTACAATCTTCACCAGTTTTAGCACTTATTAAAAGTATAGTTACCTCTAATGAAATACTGAATAGTTTTATCGAAAGTACTTTTTTTTTGTTCCTGATCCATTGATTGATTCTAGTCCTAGCGTTAACAATAGTACTCTCCCTTTCCTCTGTGTCAGACCAGAATCCTTGCCTCGAGTCTCTCACATCCGGCTGCAGTGGAACGAAGCCCTGGATCTCATGAAGCAGCGTCAGTCTTCGGTCCGAGATCAGCTGAACCTCTGGACCGTGTTCCGTCGCGGACGCAAACATCTGCACAGAGTCATAGCAGCTGTGGACTCTCTACTGCCCCCTGCTGGAGCCGCTCTGTCGCCCCCTGCTGGACTGCAAAACATAATGAAATATGAGGTAATTATTGGTTAAATTTGGATTGTGTCAGAACAAGACAAATCTGTTTAGTCTTATTTTAAAAACGATGGCTTTACTTTCTCACTCCATGGAAGACATTTTTTGTATCTTTTTAAAACCAGATTATTTTTCTCATTATCCAATTGACACATTTTTAAGATACATTTTTGCCAACTTTTTTTTCATCACTTTTTGAGGTGTGGACTCTCCCTGCTGCCCCCTACTGGTCCCTCTCTATTACCTCCTCCTGATCCCTCTCTGTCGCCTCCTACAGGACTTTCTCTGTGGCCTCCTGCTGGTCCCTCTCTGCCACCTCCTCCTGGTCCCTCTCTGTCGCCCCCTACAGGACCTACGCTGTGGCCTCCTGCTGGTCCCTCTCTGCCACCTCCTCCTGGTCCCTCTCTGTCGCCCCCTACAGGACCTACTCTGTTGCCTCCTGCTAGTCCCTCTCGGTCGCCCCCTACAGGACCTTCTCTGTGGCCTCCTGCTGGTCCCTCTCTGTGGCCTCCTGCTTGTCCCTCTCTGTCGCCTCCTGCTGGTCCCTCTCTGCCACCTCCTCCTGGTCCCTCTCTGTCGCCCCCTACAGGACCTACTCTGTTGCCTCCTGCTAGTCCCTCTCTGTCGCCCCCTACAGGACCTTCTCTGTGGCCTCCTGCTGGTCCCTCTCTGTCGCCTCCTGCTAGTCCCTCTCTGTCGCCTCCTGCTGGTCCCTCTTTGTCACCCCCTACAGGACCTTCTCTGTCGCCTCCTGCTGGTCCCTCTCTGTCGCCCCCTACACGTGCATCTCTGTCGCCCCCTACAGGACCTTCTCTGTGGCCTCCTGCTGGTCCCTCTCTGTCACCCCCTACAGCACCTTATCTGTCGCCCCCTACACGTCGCACTCTGTCGCCCCCTACACGTCGCACTCTGTCGCCCCCTACACGTCCCTCTCTGTCGCCCCCTACACGTCCCTCTCTGTCGCCCCTACACGTCCTCTCTGTCGCCCCCTACACGTTCCTCTCTGTCGCCCCCTACACGCCCCTCTCTGTCGCCCCTACACGTCCCATCTCTGTCGCCCCCTACACGTCCCTCTCTGTCGCCCCCGGCACGCCCCTCTCTGTCGCCCCCTACAGCACCTTATCTGTCGCCCCCTACACGTCCCCTCTCGGCCGCCCCTTACACGCCCCTCTCTGGCGCCCCCTACACGTCCCTCTCTGTCGTCCCCTACTCTGCCGCCCCTACACGCCCCTCTCTGGCGCCCCCTACACGCCCCTCTCTGGCGCCCCCTACACGTCCCTCTCTGTCGTCCCCTACACGTCCCTCTCTGTCACCCCATACACGTTCCTCTCTGTCGCCCCTACACGCCCCTCTCTGTCGCCCCCTACACGTCCCTCTCTGTCGCCCCCTACACGTTCCTCTCTGTCGCCCCTACACGCCCCTCTCTGTTGCCCCCTACAGGCGGCACTCCTCTCTCACAGATGCGCATGCAGGATTATGAGGCTGGTGTTTTGATTACTGCGTTTGCTGCTTTTACTGTGAGTATGATTCCTAAAGCCACAGATAAGACTTTAATCCTCACAGAACGTCACGTGTTTGGTTTGTCGTCTCATGTTGGTTTATTCTTCCATTGTTAAAAGAGGTAGACTTCGCACATCTCTTCTCTGACAGGTGCGTAGGAGTGGGCGTGCACTAGGTGGCCAAACATGAAAGAAAGGATGACACCCGCACACTGTCCAACTTGCAAACACCAGTGGTTTATTAGCAACGTTTATTAGCAACGTTGCTAATAAACCACTGGTGTTTGCAAGTTGGACAGTGTGCGGGTGTCATCCTTTCTTTCATGTTTATTCTTCCATAAAAGAATCACTTTATTGTTCACAGACACAACATAGATAAATAATTTTGTAATGATTCACTGTTTTTCAGTCCTTTCAGACTGAAACACACAACTATACAGACACACACAAAACAATGTAAAAACAAAACAACACACATGCATGCATACACACACTCTTTATCTCTCTCTCTTACACACACACACACACATGCGCGCACACACACATGCACACACACACAGATGCACACACACACATACACACACACACACATGCACATACACACACATGCACACACACACAGACGCATACACACACACACACACACACACACTCACACATACACTCACTCACACACACACACTTTCTCTCACAAAAACAGACACAACATATAACTGTAAAACTCATAGAAAGCCACATGCTCTAAATAAAAGTCACATTTCGGCAAATCAAATATTTAAACATTTTGAAGGATCCAGAACACTATTGAGAACCTCTGGTCTAAATTAATGACTGTACTTTCCCCGCTGTGTTTCAGGCTGTAGCGTCGTCCCTGCAGCCTCTCTCTGTGGTCTTCTCCAGGACCATGGACGCAGGACGAGCTCTGAGTGAAGTCCTGACGGATCCGGATTCTAAAACACAGCTACAAACTGAGACCGAGACTTTGGAGGAGGCCTGGGGACATGTGACATCACAACTGAGAAGCCAAACAGAAGCCGTCAACAAAACTGTCCAGGTAACACTCAGAGAGAGCAGAGAGAAACCAGAGGCCAGAGAGAGACCAGCGAGAGACCAGAGGCCAGAGAGAGACCAGAGAGAGGCCAGAGAGAGACCAGCGAGAGACCAGAGGCCAGAGAGAGACCAGAGAGAGGCCAGAGGCCAGAGAGAGACCAGCGAGAGACCAGAGGCCAGAGAGAGACCAGAGAGAGGCCAGAGAGAGACCAGAGAGAGACCAGAGGCCGGAGAGAGACCAGAGAGAGGCCAGAGAGAGACCAGAGAGAGACCAGAGATAGAGACCAGAGAGAGACCAGAGAGAGGCCAGAGAGAGGCCAGAGAGAGACCAGAGAGAGGCCAGAGGGAGACCAGAGGGAGACCAGAGAGAGACCAGAGAAAGACCAGAGAGAGACCAGAGAGAGACCAGAGAGAGACCAGAGATAGAGACCAGAGATAGACCAGAGAGAGGCCAGAGAGAGACCAGAGAGAGACCAGAGAGAGGCCAGAGGGAGACCAGAGGGAGACCAGAGAGAGACCAGAGAGAGACCAGAGAAAGACCAGAGAGAGACCAGAGAAAGACCAGAGAGAGACCAGAGAGAGACCAGAGAGAGACCAGAGAGAGACCAGAGAGAGACCAGAGAGAGACCAGAGAGAGGCCAGAGAGAGGCCAGAGAGAGGCCAGAGAGAGGCCAGAGAGAGGCCAGAGAGAGACCAGAGAGAGGCCAGAGAGAGGCCAGAGAGAGACCAGAGAGAGACCAGAGAGAGAGGCCAGAGAGAGACCAAAGTCACAGTGACAATAGTTTTTTGTACTTTTTAGATTGTTTTACTGTATTTTTGTGTCTGCTGCACACTGGAGACTTGAGCACTTGTATTCCAACGTGGTTTTACTGCAAGTGTCAATCTGAACTTGAATCGTGTTTGCTAAACCCTTGTCTACAGTAACAAACAAAAGAGCATGCGTTTCCATATCAACATATCAGAAAGGTGGGGGCCACAGCGGCTTGGACATGACCCACTTACAGATCCTGATCCTGGGCAGGCTGCCGCTAAAGAGGATCACACTCCAGCTGGGAAATTATCTATTATCCCAGAGGTTTTTATGATTGTGCGTCCGGGACTGTTGCTGGTATGAGCCGAGGAATGCCTGGAAGTTCTGAAGTGTTACTGGTTTGGTTTGTTCTTGGAAAGATGTGAAAGGACGAAGGATACAATGAAACAAGCAAACAACAGAGGAAAGGTGTGGGACGGATTATTGTGTGTGTACAGCCTGTTGTGTAGTGTTCATGTGAGTGACAAGGGTGTGTGTGTGTGTGTGTGAGTGTGTGAGAGTGAGAGAGAGAGAGTGTGTGTGTGTGTGTGTGTGTGTGTGAGTGTGTTTTATTTGTGTGTTTGTGTGAGAGAGAGAGAGTGTGTGTGTGTTTTATGTGTGTGTGTGTGTGTGTGTGTGTGTGTGAGTGTGAGAGAGAGAGTGTGTGTGTGTGTTTTATGTGTGTGTGTGTGTGTGTGTGTGTGAGAGTGAGAGAGAGAGAGTGTGTGTGTGTGTGTGTGTGTGAGTGTGTTTTATTTGTGTGTTTGTGTGAGAGAGAGAGAGTGTTTGTGTGTTTTATGAGTGTGTGTGTGTGTGTGAGAGAGAGAGAGTGTGTGTGTGTTCTATGAGTGTACATGTGTTTTATGAGAATGCGTGTGTTTTATGGGTGTGTGTGTGTTTTATGGCCGTGCGTTTGTGTGTGTGTGTATTTTATGAGTGTGTGTGTGTGTGTGTGTGAGAGAGTGTGTGCGTGTTTTATGAGTGTGTGTGAGAGAGAGAGTGAGAGAGTGTGTGTGTGTGTTTTATGAGTGTGTTCTTTTATGGCCGTGCGTTTGTGTGTGAGTGTGTGTGTGTTTTATGAGTGTGTGTGTTTTATGGGTGTGTGTGTGTTTTATGGCCGTCCGTTTGTGTGTGAGTGTGTGTGTATTTTATGAGTGTGTGTGCATGTATGATTTGTGTTGATTAGTATGTGTGTGTGTGTGTTAATAATGACATGTGAAGCGTCTTATTTGTGTGTGTGTGTGTGTGTGTGTTTTGAGTGTGTGTGTGAGAGAGAGAGAGTGTGTGTGTGTGTTATGAGTGTGTGTGTGTGTATTGTGTTGTATGTGTGTGTTGATAGGAGCCCAATAAGTGTCTGCTTCGTCCAAACCCTCAAATTATTATGTTTTTTGTCTTATACGTGAATATGACAAATGATGCTGGAGAGAAGGATGAGGGCTCTAGTGCAGTGCATCCTGGGTAACTCCAGACACCCTCTGCATGACACTGTGGCCACTCAGAGGAGTAACCGTAGCAACAGGCTCCCATCACTAGTTCCTTCGGCTGTCAGACTGTACAACAACAAAAAAGAGTCGTCTGTTGCAGGAGAAAGGCTTGGTGTGTGTGTGTGTGTGTGTGTGTGTGTGTGTGTGTGAGCAATTAATCATGGGTGTGTGTGTCTGTGTGAGTACTTAATCATGGGTGTGTGTGTCTGTGTGAGTACTTAATCATGAGTGTGTGTGTCTGTGTGAGCACTTAATCATGAGTGTGTGTCTGTGTGAGCACTTCATCATGGGTGTGTGAGTGTGTGTGTGTGTGCGTGTGCGTGCGTGCGTGTATCTCTGTGTGAGGCTTCATTGTATGTGGGTGTGTGTCTCTGTCTGTGTGTGAGGCTTCATCGTGTGTGTGTGTCTGTGTGTGTGTAAGTCTGTGGGTGCTCCAGGGGTCACGCAGAGTTGTGTTAACCCGTTAAGCTCAACAGGATCCGGGCACAGAAAGAGGACAATCCCCTCAGAGCAACATGTGACATCACATCCAAAGATACCGATCCCACAGACGATTGGAATGATCTCTGTGGGATCTCTCTCTGCTCCCTCACTCGTCTCTCTCTAGTCTCTTTCTGGTCTCTCTCTGGTCTCTCTCTGGTCTCTCTCTGGTCTCTTTCTGGTCTCTCTCTGGTCTCTCTCTGGTCTCTCTCTGGTCTCTCTCTGGTCTCTCTCTGGTCTCTCTCTGGTCTCTCTCTGGTCTCTCTCTGGTCTCTCTCTGGTCTCTCTCTGGTCTCTCTCTGGTCTCTCTCTGTTCTCTCTCTGCTCCTTCACTCGTCTCTCTCTGATCTCTTAGCGATACTAATTGTTGATGTGAGACTAAACTTCACTGTATCCAACAGATCAGTGAGTGGATGCAAAACAACTTCCTTCAGCTAAACGCAGACAAAACTGAAATGATTGTCTTTGGTCCCCAGAAACAAAGAGAGAGCGTCATCTGTCACCTACAGTCTCTCTCCCTAAAACCTTCAAACAAGGTCAGAAATCTAGGGGTAATACTGGACTCAGACTTAAATTTTAATAGCCACATTAAATCAGTAACATCAGCAGCTTTTTACCATCTAAAAAACATTGCCAGGATCAAAAACATAGTGTCTAAAGCAGACCTGGAGATTCTTATCCATGCATTTGTCTCCAGTAGGTTAGGCCCTGTTTATACTGAGACGCTGCGCAGACGTTTCCAGGCTATTAACAGAAACGACCAGGCTCCTAATGCAAATTTCTCAGCGTTCACATGAGGTTGAAAAACTATGTAGTTCTAGCGCCCGGCCAGTAGTGGGCAGAGAAACTTTACAACACTCACACGACCCCCAGCCCCGTGCCCAGCCCCCCTCTCGGCAGTGTACTCACTTCCTGTGCCAGACCCTCAGAACGCACCAACATCATTCTGCATTTTAACAGCAGCTGTGAAAATGGAAACTGAACCTAGAGCTTCGCGTGGTCTCGTTTGGACGAACAAAGGAGTAGAATTATCCTCTGTGCTGTGCTCGAAGCCCACGAAGCTAGTTAGTGCGACCGCCGCCATTGTTGTTGATGTTTGTTCTCCGCTACTGCGCATGTCCAAATTTATGTGCGAGGAGCAGCAGGAGGTGGGGGTCAGAGCAGAGGGGGATTTCACACCTTTCCCCTCTCGCGGGTGTGAAAGAGCCCCCGCTGTGCAGCGTTTCTGAGTTGTCCCACTCTGCAGGCTGGATCTGAACACTTACGTTTTCACCTGGAACACAGTCTTCGTATGAACGGTTGGTAGCAACCGACATCCAACTATAGCGTTTTACTGCCACATTGTCTCCGTGTAAACTCAGCCCCAGAGACTACTGCAATGGCCTGCTCACAGGTCTGTCCAAACAGGCTGTAAAACAGCTGCAGTACATTCAAAATGCAGCAGCTCGAGTCCTGACTAGAACCAGGAAGTACGACCACATTAGTCCTGACAAGAACCAGGAAGTACGACCACATTAGTCCAGTCCTCAGGTCCCTGCACTGGCTTCCTGTGGCTCAGAGAATAGACTTTAAAACAGCTCTGCTTGTGTACAAATCTCTCCATGGCCTCGCACCAAAATATATTAGTGACATGTTAGTCCCATATGAACCAGCCCGGACTCTGAGGAGCACAGGGACTGGCCTCCTGCTGGGACTCTGAGGAGCACAGGGACTGGACTCCTGCTGGGACTCTGAGGAGCACAGGGACTGGACTCCTGCTGGGACTCTGAGGAGCACAGGGACTGGACTCCTGCTGGGACTCTGAGGAGCACAGGGACTGGACTCCTGTTAGTGCCCAGAGTCAGAACTAAACATGGGGAGGCTGCTTTTCAGATTCATGCTGCTAAAATCTGGAACAGTCTTCCTGAAGATGTGAGACAGGCCTCCTCTCTGACAATGTTTAAAACCAGGTTAAAGACAGTTCTGTTTAGCTGTGCTACAACTGAGGGATTTTATATTTGTATCTTTCTTTTTAATGTTCTGTGATAATTTATGATTTTAATGCTTTCTTGTTTTGTTCAGCACTTTGAATTGCCTTGTGTATGAATTGTGCTATACAAATAAACTTGCCTTGCCTTGCCTTAAACAGGTGTCAGTGGAGCCTCCATGACCAGAGGAGGATTCTCAGACCGTGTTACAAACGTCAGCATTCCAGGAACTCTCCAGAATCAATGTTTTACGATGATGTAAGTGTGAGTTTGTGATTCTCTCTGGGCAGAAGTGGACGCTGTGTCAGGAGAAGATCGCAGAGCTGAGGGTCGAGCTGGACCGATGTGGACTGGAGCTGAAGAAGGTCCCACCAGTGCAATCCAAGGACCAAGAGGAAGCCATTCAGGTACTTCTCACTTAAAAATATATCACAAATATAAAACAAATATTGGTTTATTTGATTTTTGCTGAAAGTGAAAGTCCACAGTCCAATTTTCAGACTCAGGTATAATCCACAAGCAAGAGCAGAGCTGAGCCAAGAAGGGCCAAGTCTCTCTTTCTGGACTCTCTCTCTGTTCTCGCTCTCTGGTTTCTCTCTCTCCCTCTGGACTCTCTCTCTCTATGAGCTCTCTCTGGTATCTCTCTCTCCGTCTGGTCTCTCTCTCTCTCTGGTCTCTCTCTCTCTCTCTGGTCTCTCTCTCTCTATGGTCTCGCTCTGGTCTCTCTCTCTCTCTTTCTGGTCTCTCTCTTTGGTCCTCTCTGGTCTATCTTTCCATGGTCTCTCTCTGGTCTCTCTATATGATCTCACTCTGGTCTCTTGCTCTCCCTCTGGTCTCTCTCTCTCTCTCCTTCTGGTCTCTCTCTTTGGTCCTCTCTGGTCTCTCTCTATGGTCTCTCTCTCTCCCTCTGGTCTCTCTCTTCGGTCCTCTCTGGTCTCCCTCTGGTCTCTCTCTCTAGTCTCTCTCTCTATGGTCTCTCTCTCTCTCTATGGTCTCTCTCTCTCCCTCTGGTCTCTCTCTTTGGTCCTCTCTGGTCTATCTTTCCATGGTCTCTCTCTGTTCTCTCTCTCTGGTCTGTCTCTCTCTCTCTATATATCTATCTATGTAGAGTAGAGTAGAGTTTTCCTGCCTCTCAAAGTTACTTATTGTTGCTGTAAGATTTGAACCCATGATCCAGAGCCATAAAACACATTGTAAAAGCAGTACACAATAGCCTGTACTGTATACAGAGAGGCCACTTACTACAACACATGACTTCAGACTTGCCCCAGGACAGGAGCCACTATCCCCCATCCCAGCAGCAGTCCCCCCCCCCCCCCCTCTCCTTATTTAATGCCCTGGGCTTTCACTCCCCTCCCCCTTCTCACCCATGCACCCTCCCCCTTGCCTGTCCCGTCCGCAGAGCTTTAATCAGGACAGTCAGAGTGGACCAAAGTAGCGGCAGGAGAGGGTAGAGCTAGTGTGTGCGCGAGGGTGGATGGCTTTCTGAACCTGGGATTTCTGTGGCTAAATGTACCATGCAGGAGACAGAGTTCTCCTTGCAGCTTCTGAGGACGGGAGGACTGCGACAAGTGGACGAGATGAAGTTGGACCTGACCCAGTGCGTGCCGATCGGGGACTCTGCCCTGTTGGAGAAGCAGCTAGAGCAACTGCACAGCCACTGGGAAGAGCTGTGTGTGAAGGTAAGAGGAAAACCCCACACACAAGTAAATGTAACTAGTTTGTGTGTTTGTTTGTAGCTAATGTTTTGGTTGTCGGAGAAGTTTGGAGAGCAGGTGCCACAGCAGAGGGGGTGGGGGTAAGGGGGGGGGGGGGGGGGAGCAGAGGTGGACAGAGGCACAAAGACTTAGCACAACTGGGAGAATGAAAGAGGGTTCTTCTTCAGGCTTTTTGTTCAGTTTTAGAATGGAACTGATGTGATTTTGTCCTCAGATTGTGAAGTATGAAACTCTCCCTGACGTTCTCCTAATGTGGTTCATGCTCGTGTGATCAATGGCAGAGAAACCAAAACCAAAAAGCACAGATATTAAATCAATTAAGTGCAATAGATTTGATAAAAAGATCAAAATGACTTAAAAATCTACTGAAATGTACAGTTTTAGACAGGCTAGTTCATTCATTCAATACAAAACACACACACACACAAACGACACAGACCCAAACACATGGTGGCTGAGTTTGAAGCCTGGTCGTAACAGGAGTTTGCATGTTCTCCCAGTGACTCCCGTAGGTTTCCTCCAGGTGCTCCAGTTTCCTCTATAACTAAAAGCATGGACAATAGGCAACAATCCTCCAGCTCTGGCCCTGAGCAAACCCGGGAGGCATGGGTCAAATGCAGAGGACACATTTCCTTACAAGATTAAGATTATAGATCCTTTATACATCCCACAGTGGGGAAATTTCAGTGTTGCATCACAAGTTACAGAACTGTAGGAAAGAGGCGCACACGGCACAAGTTAAGTGAACAATAGCTATACTAATCAAAATAAAGCAAAATCTCTAACTCTAGCATCAATAAGAAGTATACAATCTCTAAGGACAATTTAACTTAAACATATTAAAAACACAAATAAATCCCGTAGTTTGTCGCTGATGCAAAGACCAGTGATGATCCTGGATATGTATTATCATTTATTACCGTTTACGAATGGCTCCTGTATGTTATTATTTCTTTTCTTGTGTTCAAACTGGGATTCTCTGATCTGTTGTGGGCCAATTGACAACTTTGTAAACTCTTCAGAGCTTCCTGGTTCCACAAGGCTTACTCCAGTCTGTCATTTATGCTTATTTTCTCTGCAAGAGAGAGAGTGATCAGAGGCAGAGAGAGCAGAGGGAGAGAGAGAGCAGGGAGAGAGAGCAGCAAGAGAGAGAGAGCAGAGAGACAGAGAGAGCAGAGAGAGAGAGCAGCAAGAGAGAGAGAGCAGATAGAGAGCAGAGAAAGACAAGAGAGAGACTGGAGAGAGACCAGAGAGACCACAGAGAGAGAGACCAAAGAGAGGCCAGAGAGAGACCGGAGAGAGAGAGACCAGATAGATGAGAGAGAGAGACCAAAGAGAGAGACCAGACAGACCACAGAGAGAGACCAGAGAGAGACCACAGAGAGGCCAGAGAGAGACCAGAGAGAGACTAGATAGATGAGAGAGAAAGACCCGAGAGACACCAAAGAGAGAGATCAGACAGACCACAGAGAGAGAGACCAGAGAGAGAGACCAGAGAGAGAGACCACAGAGAGAGACCAGAGAGAGACCAGAGAGAGAGACCAGAGTATTCTACAACCCCAGAGAAATATCCTCTCCCGTTCCTGTCTTAACAGGATCGATGTAATAACAACGTCATTAGCGCGGGTCACATTCCTACAGTTAAGTCTGTGGCCTTTACACAAATACCCTGTTGTTCTTTAGGATAAACAGCAATGCATTCTGGGGCATTTTTGTTTTCTGTCCAGCGTTTACCTCAATGCTTAATTATCATGAGCCCAACAGCGACTTGTACTCGCGCTAATTGGTGCCTGCAGCTGCCTCCACCTGCCCCAGTCCTGGCTCCAGCTTCACGCCTTTGTCTTCACTCATTTCACATTCCAGTCGAACTACTCCCCCAAATATGAACCAGTTTAGATATTGTTCACACTGGTTTTCAGTGACTTTGTAGCCACGTGGGGAAAAGCGATTCGGTTCTGTATCACGGTGTTATGCACAGGCAAAGAAACGGATAGAGCAGAGCAAAGTTTAATTAAATGATTATCTGTTTTACTTTTCTGTTTTCTCTGAGTTTTCTGTGAGGTTTTGGTGACTCTATGATGTCTGCTTGCTCTATTGCTGGTTCCTCTCTCTGGTCTCTCTTTGGTCTCTCTTTGGTCTCTCTTTGGTCTCTCTCTGGTCTCTCTCTGGTCTCTCTCTGGTCTCTCTCTGGTCTCTCTTTGGTCTCTCTCTGGTCTCTCTCTGGTCTCTCTCTGGTCTCTCTCTTGTCTCTCTTTGGTCTCTCTTTGGTCTCTCTCTGGTCTCTCTCTGATCTCTCTCTGGTCTCTCTTTGGTCTCTCTTTGGTCTCTCTCTGGTCTTTCTTTGGTCTCTCTCTCTTTCTCTGATCTCTCTCTCTCTCTCTGGTCTCTCTGGTCTTACTCTTGTCTCTCTCTGGTCTCTCTCTCTCTCTCTTGTCTCTCTTGTCTCTCTGCTCTCTCTCGGCGGCACGGTGGCTGAGTGGATAGCACTCTCGCCTCTCAGCAAGAAGGTCCTGGGTTCGAATCCCGGTCGGACCAGGGCCTTTCTGAGTGGAGTTTGCATGTTCTCCCCGTGTCTGCGTAGGTTTCCTCCGGGTGCTCCGGTTTCCCCTACCACTAAAAATATGTACAATAGGTATGGCATGTGCCTCCTGTACTGGCCCCACTCCCAAAAATAACAATTGTAAACCGCTTTGAGACTCCGATGTGCAGTGAAAAGGCGGTATATAAATAAAAGCTTACTTACTCTCTGGTCTTGTGTCTCTCTTTGGTCTCTCTCTCTGATCTCTCTCTCTCTCTCTCTCTCTCTCTCTGGTCTCTCTCTCTGGTCTCTCTCTCTGGTCTCTCTCTGGTCTATTTCTGGTCTCTTTAATCACGAAAAAAAGAACTACTTTGAATGTTTTCATGCTGGTTTTTAGTGACTTTGATTGGAGTTTGGTCTGCATGATAAGATTTGGTCTGCATGATAACATTTGGTCTGCATGATAAGATTTGGTCTGCATGATAACATTTGGTCTGCATGATAACATTTGGTCTGCATGATAACATTTGGTCTGCATGATAACATTTGGTCTGCATGATAACATTTGGTCTGCATGATAACATTTGGTCTGCATGATAACATTTGGTCTGCATGATAACATTTGGTCTGCATGATAACAGGTTGTTGAAGAGGGAGAGGGGGGCAGGTGCTGGAATGGACCAGAGCAGATGGTCTTCATGGTCCTCCTGGGAGCTGGGGGCAGTCTCTATTGTTATGAGGAATCACAAAGTCTTCACAGGGCGACGGCCGCGTACAAAGGAATCTCAATGATTAAGCGCTGAATACTTAAGAGCTCCCAAAACATTGATACTACATGAAAACAATTAAAGGCTTAATGAAAGACTGTTAAATACCAACGCTGGGAGATTTAGAGCTGAGAGATTTAGGGCTAAAACAGTTTGACAGAAAAAGAGGGTTAAAATAGCGGGTTAGCATTGCCCAGGGAGAGACCAGAGAGAGACAAGAGAGAGACAAGAGAGAGACCAGAGAGAGACTAGAGAGAGACAAGAGAGACCAGAGAGAGACAAGAGAGACAAGAGAGACCAAAGAGAGACCAAAGAGAGACCAGAGAGAGGCCAGAGAGAGGCCAGAGAGAGACCAGAGAGAGACCAGAGAGAGGCCAGAGAGAGACCAGAGAGAGACCAGAGAGAGACCAGAGAGAGACCAGAGAGAGACCAGAGAGAGACCAGAGAGAGACCAGAGAGAGACCAGAGAGAGACCAGAGAGAGACCAGAGAGAGACCAGAGAGAGACCAGAGAGAGGCCAGAGAGAGGCCAGAGAGAGGCCAGAGAGAGGCCAGAGAGAGGCCAGAGAGAGGCCAGAGAGAGACCAGAGAGAGACCAGAGAGAGACCAGAGAGAGACCAGAGAGAGACCAGAGAGAGAGACCAGAGAGAGCGACCAGAGAGAGACCAGAGAGAGCGACCAGAGAGAGACAAGAGAAGAGAGACCAGAGAGAGAGAAACTAGAGAGCATGTTTAGAGAGAGATCAGAGAGAAAGACAAATTCAGTGAAAAGCCAGAGCTGGATGTTTTATCTCTGAGGCTTTTACTGAACCAGTTTAAACTCCTTAAAGATCCTCCTCCGCCTCCCTGCATGTTTTTAATTTGTCGTTAATGAAATTGACCCGGTTAAAGATGTCTGCCCTTTCATTTCAACGGCCTCTTTATCATTCTCATCCAATCCTTGTCTCGAGTCTCTCCAGATTGATACAAATGGGGAGACCACAGCCAAAAAGCACAGATATCAAATCAGTTCAATAGCCTTTTTAATCTCTGGCACTAAACACAATTTTTTTTAAAGTTTTTATTTTTATCGTATTTTTTAATTTTTTTACATTTGTATTGTTTTTACACAATGTTTTACTTCCATTCTTTTTTGTAAACATAAGGCTGGCAAACTTGCATATTTAAATGTGTTGATTTTCTCTCTGTGCAGCACTTTGGAAACTTGTTTTATAAAATGTGCTATATAAATAAAGTGGATTGGATAAAAGACTGCAGAGCCCTGTGTTATTAAGGATTGGACCAATGTTACAGAAATGAACTGTATTCTCTGTCCCTCTCCCTCAGGTTTCTCTGCGCAAACAGGAAATAGCAGATCGTCTGAACGCGTGGACCATCTTCAATGACAAGAATAAGGAGTTCTGTGATTGGCTGACGCAGATGGAGAACAAGGTGTGCCACAGCGCGGACGTGAGCTTCGAGGAAATGGTCGAGAAACTCAAAAAGGTAAAACGGCTCGAGTCCAATCTCTGACATGTAATTGTTGAATGTGCCACAGACGGTTACGGAGGTGAGGTTTGTGATGCAATTACATCCACAAACTTCATAAACTGTAAAGATGAGAGAGCCAGCTTATTTTAATAATCTAATCTAGCTGCTTACTCTGCTCCGCATCAGACATCTTTAAGAAGCACAGGTCCGAGAGACGCGAGGAGAGAGAGAGCGAGAGAGACACGAAGAGAGAGAGACAGATATGAGGAAGATAAACAATCATTTAAACAAGTTGAAGAACTCTTGAGCAGCGTTTGAATCAGTGTTTTTTGGAGAAGCACTATTATGCAGCTCTCTGGTCAGTTTTCAACATAAAACACAGATTGACAATTTCCTCCCCCGCGGCCGGACTAACCAAGTCCAGCGCTGGTCTCTCAGTCTGTGTTATTTCTTGCTTTGATTGAAGCAAAAAACATCTTCAATCAATTTTCCAGTAAAAGAAATGGCATTTTGGGCTGATTTTTTGTTAGCAACTCTTAATGCTTTCTCACTGGCGCCCCTAGTGGTGAGGCACAGACACTGCCTGCCTCACGCCAAGCTTTTTCCTTGTGTATTCTTCTCTGATCAAAAGACTTAAACTAAATATAAATAGTACACACATACGTGCAGTACATTACGAAACACTTTGACAAGTTTAACAGTTGTTTTCAGTGCAGGATGATGAAACAAACTGCGATATATCAACAGCACGAGCTGAGTGCACTGTGAGCGATCTGGGAGCGGCACGTAGGCCTCACCTCGTCTCTATGGACAGGAAATACAGGATTTCCGCAATTTTTGACTTCAGAAATGATCAAAACTGGTCGGAACCGTGCCGAATATACATTAAAATCATAGGACAGTGGAAAACAATTATATATTACAACTAAAATTATTATTTGTTTCCAATGATGGCCTGCCTCGCCTGTCAATAGGAGCCAGAGAGAGTTGGAGCAAAACTTCCTCCATGAGCACTTCCATATTGAGTTAGCTGGTTAATGTTTTCGAGAGTGAGACCTGAGGGAGAGAGACAAGGGAGAGGTCAGAGAGATAGACAAAAGAAAGAGAGAACAGTGAGGGAGTAAAGTGAGAGACCAGAGCGACTACAGTGAGAGAGAGACAGACCAGAGACAGACCAGAGACAGACCAGAGAAATAAAAACAAAAGAGAGAGAGCAGTGAGAGACCAAAAGGAGAGACTAGAGAGAGAGAATAAAGTGAGGGAGAAGCCATAAAGAGAAACCAGAGAGATAGAGACAAGAGAGAGACAACAGAGAGACCAGAGAGTGATACCAGACTGAGAAGCCAGAGAGAGGGAACAAAGAGAGAGACTAAAGTGAGAGACAAGAGAGTTTAACCAGAGAGACCAGAAAGAGACTAGACTTATGAGAGTTATGCCCGCCCCTTTCTAATATGCTTCCACTCCTTCTGTTTAAAACACTAACAATAAAACAATAATACTGTTCAGCAGCTGCTTCAGAAAGAGGAAGTACGGACAGGATGGTTTTTCCCTCTTCCTGAAACTCTCTCAGATGAACTTCTCTAAAGTCCATTAAAATCACTTAGAACTCACTTATATTTAGCCCCCACTTGTGTGACCTGCTCTAACAGCTGGGACCCGGACTGAACAGCCAGGGCCCGGTGGAGGCACTGAGGCTCTTTGTGGTCCCGCTCTCTCGTCGCGGAGCTGGCGTTGTAAATGAAATAATAATTGGTGGCTCGGAGATTTCCTGAATTGATTTGTTTTGAGTTTGTTGGTTTTAAAAGGAGAATGTGGCGTTTAGCAGAGACGTTGTGTTGGTGCTGGGGAGAGTAGAAAACGGCTGTCCAAACGGTGCAAAAAAACAAAAGAGAAGAAGAAGAATGAGGAGGAGAGAGACGCCTTCAACAGAGAGAGCGTGGTGGGGGAGAGGTGTAGGGTCAGAGAGGGTTTGGGTCTGTGTGTTTGTGCGTCTATCTGTGCATGGGTGTGTGTGTGCGTGTGTGTGTTTGTTTGTGCGTCTGTTTCTGTATGTGTGTGTTGACCTATACCATATCAGAGTCCCAGCAGGAGGCCAGTCCCTGTGCTCCTCAAAGTCCCAGCAGGAGGCCGGCCCCTGTGCTCCTCAGAGTCCCAGCAGAAGGCCAGTCCCTGTGCTCCTCAGAGTCGTCCCTGTGCTCCTCAGAGTCCCAGCAGGAGGCCAGTCCCTGTGCTCCTCAGAGTCTGAGTTGGTTCATATGGTACTAACATGTGACAGATGTACTTTGGTTCGAGGCCCTGGAGCATCTGTGCTCCTCAGAGTCTGAGTTGGTTCATATGGTACTAACATGTGACAGATGTACTTTGGTTCGAGGCCCTGGAGAGACTTGTGACAAAAGATGAAATAAGCAAAAATAAACATATTCTTATTCACCGTTTCTAATGACATTTTGAAATGATTTACTTTATTCAGCAGAACTAGATCTGGAGTGGACATGAGATTGAGTTTCTTCATACACCCTTGAAACTGCCCACTTTCCTCTGGTCTGACCGTCTCTGCCGTCTCTGCCCACCCACAGGACTGCATGGAGGAAATTAATTTGTTCAGCGAGAACAAGAGGCACCTGAAGCAGCTGGGGGAGCAGCTGCTGTGGGCCAGCGACGAGGCCAAGCAGACCCAGGTCCACGGCTCTCTGCAGGAGGCCCATCAGCGCTGGCACGGCCTCTTCCACCACATAGAGTCCAGGTGAGCCGTAAGCTGCTGCTGTGTCGAGTGCATGAAATCACTTCAGTGGGTCCTGAGCTGTTTAGTCGATTACAGCTGGTGTTAACTGTGGGACTGGAGAGTTGCAAAGATGCTGGAGTTGCTGGAGACGAAATACTGAGGTTCTCGTTAGACTAGGAGCATTGCTTCTAAAACCGGATTCAGAATAAGTTCATAAATTCCTGAATGTAGAGAGACACCAGAGACCTGAGAGGGCAGAGAGAGAGAGAGAGACCTGAGAGGGCAGAGAGAGAGAGAGAGACCTGAGAGGGCAGAGAGAGACCAGAGACCTGAGAGAGAGAGAGAGACCAGAGACCTGAGAGAGCAGAAAGAGAGAGAAAGACCAGAGACCTGAGAGAGCAGAAAGAGAGAGAAAGACCAGAGACCAGAGAGAGAGAGAGAGACCAGAGACCTGAGAGAGCAGAAAGAGAGAGAAAGACCAGAGACCTGAGAGAGCAGAGAGAGACCAGAGACCTGAAAGAGCAGAGAGAGAGAGAGAGAGAGACCAGAGACCTGAGAGAGCAGAGAGAGAGAGAGAGAGAGACCTGGGAGAGACCAGAGACCTGAGAGAGCAGAGAGCAGAGAGAGAGAGAGAGAGAGAGACCTGGGAGAGACCAGAGACCTTAGAGAGCAGAGAGAGAGAGCAGAGAGAGAGAGAGAGAGAGAGAGAGAGAGACCTGGGAGAGACCAGAGACCTGAGAGAGCAGAGAGAGACCAGAGACCTGAGAGAGCAGAGAGAGAGAGAGAGAGAGAAAGACCAGAGACCTGAGAGAGCAGAGAGAGAGAGAGAGAGAGAGACCTGGGAGAGACCAGAGACCTGGGAGAGCAGAGAGAGAGAGAGAGAGAGACCCGGGAGAGACCTGAGAGAGCAGAGAGAGAGAGAGAGAGAGACCTGGGAGAGACCAGAGACCCGAGAGACCAGAGACCCGAGAGAGAGAGAGAGAGAGAGAGAAAGACCAGAGACCTGAGAGAGAGAGAGAGAGAGAGAGAGAGAGACCTGGGAGAGACCAGAGACCTGGGAGAGCAGAGAGAGAGAGAGAGAGAGAGACCTGGGAGAGACCAGAGACCTGGGAGAGCAGAGAGAGAGAGAGAGAGAGAGACCTGGGAGAGCAGAGAGAGAGAGAGAGACCTGGGAGAGCAGAGAGAGACCAGAGACCTGGGAGAGCAGAGAGAGAGAGAGAAAGAGAGACCTGAGAGAGCAGAGAGAGACCAGAGACCTGGGAGAGCAGAGAGAGAGAGAGAGAGAGAGAGACCTGGGAGAGACCAGAGACCTTAGAGAGCAGAGAGAGAGAGCAGAGAGAGAGAGAGAGAGAGAGAGACCTGGGAGAGACCAGAGACCTGAGAGAGCAGAGAGAGACCAGAGACCTGAGAGAGCAGAGAGAGACCAGAGACCTGAGAGAGCAGAGAGAGAGAGAGAGAGAGACCTGGGAGAGACCAGAGACCTGGGAGAGCAGAGAGAGAGAGAGAGAGACCTGAGAGAGCAGAGAGAGAGAGAGAGAGAGACCTGGGGAGAGACCAGAGACCCGAGAGAGCAGAGAGAGAGAGAGAGAGAGAGAGAGAGAAAGACCAGAGACCTGAGAGAGCAGAGAGAGAGAGAGAGAGAGACCTGGGAGAGACCAGAGACCTGGGAGAGCAGAGAGAGAGAGAGAGAGAGAGAGAGAGACCTGGGAGAGACCAGAGAGAGACCAGAGACCTGGGAGAGCAGAGAGAGAGAGAGAGAGAGAGACCTGGGAGAGCAGAGAGAGACCAGAGACCTGGGAGAGCAGAGAGAGAGAGAGAGAAAGAGAGACCTGAGAGAGCAGAGAGAGACCAGAGACCTGGGAGAGCAGAGAGAGAGAGAGAGAGAGAGAGAGAGACCTGGGAGAGACCAGAGACCTTAGAGAGCAGAGAGAGAGAGAGAGAGAGAGAGAGAGAGAGAGAGAGACTGGGAGAGACCAGAGACCTGAGAGAGCAGAGAGAGACCAGAGACCTGAGAGAGCAGAGAGAGAGAGAGAGAGAGACCTGGGAGAGACCAGAGACCTGGGAGAGCAGAGAGAGAGAGAGAGAGAGACCTGAGAGAGCAGAGAGAGAGAGAGAGAGAGACCTGGGAGAGACCAGAGACCGAGAGAGAGAGAGAGAGAGAGAGAGAGAGAGAGAGAGAAAGACCAGAGACATGAGAGAGCAGAGAGAGAGAGAGAGAGAGAGACCTGGGAGAGACCAGAGACCTGGGAGAGCAGAGAGAGAGAGAGAGAGAGAGACCTGGGAGAGCAGAGAGAGAGAGAGAGAGAGACCTGGGAGAGCAGAGAGAGACCAGAGACCTGGGAGAGCAGAGAGAGAGAGAGAAAGAGAGACCTGAGAGAGCAGAGAGAGACCAGAGACCTGGGAGAGCAGAGAGAGAGAGAGAGAGAGAGAGAGACCTGGGAGAGACCAGAGAGAGAAACCCAGTTAGAGGGGGTTCAGCAGTGCCCAGAATCATCAGTTGTATGTATTAAATGTGTGTGATCTCAGGACATTTCGTCGTCCCGCACAAATGTTCCAAGCTCAAACGTCCTCCCTGTGTCTCCTCCTCTGTTTTCATCCTGCACAGTGGGCCCTTTCTCCGCCAAAACACATTAACCAAATGAACGACCCACAAATCTTCAAACGAGTCCCTGTAATTAAAGCAGAAGTCTATCCTCCTGCTGTTGCCGAGCGCCGGGCTGCAGCTGTTCATACACATACACAGTACCTCGCTTAGACATATGGAAGATCCTACCAAAGTCCCACCCCCTCCCCCCCGACAGAGGACCAGGAGCCAGACTAGGACCATATGTCGTCATGTCCACGGTGCAGCCCACTCCCCTCCCTCTCGGTCTCTTCTGTGGGCTACGGTGACACATTATAATGAGGGGTCATCCCAACCCCTCAACCCAAAAACTACCCCCACATTTGTGTTACGTAATACTGAATGTAGGGAGAGAGAGAGAGAGAGAGAGACCAGAGAGAGAGAGAGAGAGACACTAGAGAGAGGGACACCAGGGAGAGAGACATCAGATAGAGGGACGCCAGAGAGAGAGTCAAGAAAGAGACTAGAAAGGGAAAGACCAGAGATATACCAGAGAGAGACCAGGAAGAGACTATAGAGGGAGAGACCAGAGAGAGAGAGACAAGAGATATACCAGAAAGAGCGAGACCAGAGAGAGACTAGAAATATACCAGAGAGAGAGAGTGCAGAAAGAGACCAGAGAGAGAGACTATAGATATACCAGAGAGAGAGAGAGACCAGAAAGAGGCCAGAGAGAGAGAAAGACAAGAGATATACCAGAGAGAGAGACCAGAGAGAGACTAGAGATATACCAGAGAGAGAGAGACCAGAAAGAGACCAGAGAGAGAGACTATAGATATACCAGAGAGAGAGAGAGACCAGAAAGAGACCAGAGAGAGAGAAAGACAAGAGATATACCAGAGAGAGAGACCAGAGAGAGAGACTATAGATATACCAGAGAGAGAGAGAGACCAGAAAGAGACCAGAGAGAGAGAAAGACAAGAGATATACCAGAGAGAGAGAGACCAGAGAGAGACTAGAGATATACCAGAGAGAGAGAGACCAGAGAGAGAGAGAGACCAGAGAGAGAGAGAGACCAGAGAGAGAGGGACCAGAGAGATATACCAGAAAGAGACCAGAGAGAGAGAGACGAGAGATACAGTACAGCAGCGAGATATACCAGAGAAAAAGATACCAGAAAGAGAGAGACGAGTAATTATGTCTCAGTAATTCTGAATGTTTGAATCTGCTTCCAGCTCGCTCACAGGCTGCTCATGTGGAGAAACCCTCCTACTCTCCCCTACGCTCTCCTCCCACAGAGCCATATAGTTTTAGTAGCGATCTGATATTGTGCAGCTAATGTGAAGTTGTGCTAATGCTAATGTTTGCATCATTAGCATTAGCACAACTTCACATTAGCTGCACAATAATAACTAATGAGACGGTACTGCTAACACAACAGCCGGTTTTGTGTCTAAATTGAGTTAGGCTAACAGATGTACAATAGTTACGTTAATCACTATGGCAACGCAACGGCAAGGCAAGATTATTTGTATTGCACAGTGGTCACACACAAGGCAAAGTTCTGAAGATAACAAGATCGGCACTGTCACACAAGGCAATAAAATCATAAATATTCACAGTACATCAGAAAGAGGGAAGATACAGTCCTTCAGTGAATCAGTAACTTTGGAAAAGGCTGTACAATAGTGACATTGAATTGAATATACACATACATCAGCAATGTTCAATATACCAGATATATACCAGAGAGAGAGATATATATATATATATACCAGAGAGAGAGAGAGAGATATATATATATATACCAGAGAGAGAGAGAGAGGGAGAGATACGATATATACCAGAGAGAGAGAGAGAGGGAGAGATACGATATATACCAGAGAGAGACCAGAAAGAGAGACAAGAAATATATCAGAGAGAGAGAGAGAAGAGATAGACTAGAGAGAGAGAGAGGGACAAGAGATAGACCAGAGAGAGAGAGACAAGAGATAGACTAGAGAGAGAGAGAGGGACAAGAGATAGACCAGAGAGAGAGAGAGACCAGAAAGAGAGAGACAAGAAATATATCAGAGAGAGAGAGAGAAGAGATAGACTAGAGAGAGAGAGAGAGAGACAAGAGATAGACCAGAGAGAGAGAGACAAGAGATAGACCAGAGAGAGAGAGAGACCAGAAAGAGAGAGACAAGAAATATATCAGAGAGAGAGAGAGAAGAGATAGACTAGAGAGAGAGAGAGAGAGACAAGAGATAGACCAGAGAGAGAGAGACAAGAGATAGACCAGAGAGAGAGAGAGACCAGAAAGAGAGAGACAAGAAATATATCAGAGAGAGAGAGAGAAGAGATAGACTAGAGAGAGAGAGAGAGAGACAAGAGATAGACCAGAGAGAGAGAGACAAGAGATAGACTAGAGAGAGAGAGAGACCAGAAAGAGAGAGACAAGAGATTGACAAGAGGGAGAGAGAGAGAGAGACCAGAAAGAGAGAGACAAGAGATTGACAAGAGGGAGAGAGAGAGAGAGACCAGAAAGAGAGAGATAAGAGATAGACCAGAAAAAGTGAGAGAGAGAGAGAGAGAGAGACGGAGAGAGACCATAAAGAGACCAGAGAGAGAGAAACAAGAGATAGACCAGAAAGAGAGAGACAAGAGATGGACTAGAGAGAGAGAGAGAGAGAGAGAGAGAGAGAGACCAGAGAGAGAGAGACAAGAGATAGACCAGAAAGAACGAGACCAGAGATATACCAGAGAGAGAGAGAGAGAGACCAGAAAGAGTAAGTAATTAAGTAATCTTTAGTAATCTTTATTTATATACCGCGTTTTCACTGCACAGAGTCTCAAAGCGGTTTACAATTGTGATTTTTTGGGAGTGGGGCCAGTACAGGAGGCACATGCCAGACCTATTGTACATATTTTTAGTGGTAGGGGAAACCGGAGCACCCGGAGGAAACCTACGCAGACACGGGGAGAACATGCAAACTCCACTCAGAAAGGCCCTGGTCCAACCGCGATTCGAACCCAGGACCTTCTTGCTGAGAGGCGAGAGTGCTATCCACTCAGCCACCGTGCCGCGGTGAGAGAGAGAGAGACAAGAATAATTATTCACCATGTTTTAATAATACATTTATTAATAACTTTATCTAATTACAACCAGCTCATAATGGAGTGAAAAAGGTATAGCCTCCCACCTCATGTTTATCATTTCCATGTTTGTCAATAGGAGCCAGAGCGAGTTGGAGCAAAACTATTGTGTAGCATTAAGCTAGCAGGTTAGCATGGTCCATCTGTGTACAGTTTTGCTTGGATCTTGCTGGTCAGACTATAAATAATTGCTTTTGAGATGCATCCAATACTCTCATGACAGTTTAATTGCACAGCAGTCCGAGCGTATAAATGTTCTTCTTTATCCCGTTGGTTTCATAGTGAACATTTGTCCTGCGGCGAATAACCACACGCTACAAAACTACAAAACCAGAGCTTTTAAGGAAATGTCAGCTGTATTTCAGTCTTTGTCTCCTGTGGTCTCTCTCGTACAGTGTATACGGCCACAGCTCTATTGTCTCCTCAGCTCGGCCCCTGGACCCCTGAAGCTAGCGTCCCATTGTTGCAGCTGTCGGGAGAAAGAGCCCAGAGAAGTAATGTGTTTGAGTGGAGAGATCGTACACTGTTTCACGGCTATAAATAAAGTTATCTGTGTTTGAAGACCGCGGGACGCTCCATGAGGTCATTCTTTATGACTTTATCCATCTGTTGCTGTTTTTTATCGAAAGGGCTTTTACTGAAGTGGAACTGTTGATCCTCCAGAGGCCAATGGTAAATGAAGAGAACCGTTCTCAAAAGTTGTAGGATTTGTTTGAAAGTTTCTGGATTTTTTTGGAACTTTTTTGGCTTTTGTTTTGAACGTTTCTGTATTTTATGGAAAGTTTCCGGATTTTTGGGGAAAGTTTCCTGATTATTTTTGGAAAGTTTCTTGATTTTTTGGAAAGTTTCTGGATGTTTTGGGGAAAATATTTAGATTTAAATATTGACATTTTTGGATTGTTTTGGATTTTTTTTTATTATTTGATAATGTTTTGGGAATTTTGTTTGATATTTTTTTTGGGAACGTTTTTAGATCTTAGATTTTGTTTTTTCAAGATTTTCAGGTTTGTTTTTATTTATAAATTTATTTTTGAATAATTTTCTTTTTTTTCAAGATTTTCAGGATTTTTTCAAAAGTTTTCTGATTTTCTTTTTTAAGGTTTTCAAAATCACACTGAAATGTCAGTGTTGCAGTGCACAAACAGGACAGTTTTAAGATAGCAGACAAGATAAGACACAGTGGGGATATTGCAACGCTATAACTCCATTTGGTTCAGGAATCAGTCTCTTGTGGAGTCTACACTGTAGCAGCATCAGGAGGTTTTTACTGATGTTTACACTGTCCTTTAGCAGCAGAGAATATGAGCAGAATAAACAATAGTAATAACAGCAGCAGGTGAAGTGACGAAAGAATTATCAGATGAATGGAATATGTCTAATGTAGTAATGTATTAATAATAACCATCGCAGGTAAAGCTAATTATCAGAACAGGTGAGTGGCACAGGTACAGACTCAGCAGTTCTCATTGTACAGTCTGACAGCAGCAGGAGGGAACGACCTGACATATTGAGGGTGGATCAGTCTGTCACTGAAACTGCTCTTTCAAGTAATTCCTTCATTGTGGGAGCAATATGTGTAGGTTCATTTCATTCGCAGCCATAACAACGGTTGCTAAGGCAAGCTGGAGTTTCCCCCGCGCATAAAGGCATCTGATTGGTCAGTCTATACATGGCTCACGCTCTTACTGTCGCGACAAACAAAATGTATTTATTGAAGAGAAAGTTAAGTGCTCTGGCTTTAACTCAGGGGGGTTCCTTCATTGTGTGTATATCTTTATATTTCTGAAAGTTTTTAATTATCGCCATAGAAACACGCATTTTAACTACAACATCTATTGGCTGAAGACTGACTGAACCTCCTCATTTAAAGCACAGATCAAATGGGAAAGTGAAGGAGGACGGCAGAATGAGGCACACTCCAGGCTTTTAGCCGAGACGGAGGACTTACATTGTCCCTTTCGTTGCTATGGCACCCGTCTGAGGGGTTTGGGGTGGGGGGGGGGGGCTGGTCTCCATGGCGATGTGTGAAGTTTGAGATACCTGGGTCCTATTACCACCTCTGTTCGAGTTCCATGTGAGATAAATAGTTTTTTCCCCATTGTATTTTCTTCTGCTCGTTTGGTTTTTTCATGACCATTCTGAGCCACATTTGTTGAAACAAGCTTCGGCCTCGCTCTCTGTGTGGTGTTCCCCGTCATATCGCAAAAGCTAAGCAGGACTGGACCTGGTTTGTACTGTGATGGGAGACATGTGGGAACAAAGCCACAGTGAGGCAGCTGTAAAGTGGTTGTGGTGTGTATGTGTGTGTGTTTGAGAGTGTGGGTGTGTGTATGTGTTTTTGTGTGTGTGTGTGTGTGTATGCCTGTATGTTTGTGCGTGTGTATCTGTGTGTGTTTGAGAGTGTGTGTGTGTGTGTGTGTATGCCTGTATGTTTGTGTCTGTGCCTGTATATTTGTGTTAGTTCTGACTCTGTGGCCAGTCCCTGTGCTCCTCAGAATCCGAGTTGGTTCATACGGCACTATCATATCTTGTGATGTTGTGTATCACAGAGGTTGTGTAGTCCTTTCCTGAATCTGTGTGTGTGTCTTTGTGTGTGTGTTTGCAGAGTGAAGAAGCTGAAGGAGACTCTGGCCGCGGTGCAGCAGTTGGACAAGAACATGAATAACCTTCGCTCGTGGCTGTGTCGCATCGAGGCCGAACTGTTCCAGCCCATCGTCTACAGCAGGATCCACCACCACGAGATCCAGAGGCGGCTCGCCCAGCACCAGGTCTGCGCCACATCTCGTCTCCATGGCAACATTCCAAACATGTCCATACCAATGAGAAGTCTCCATACCAGAGACTTTAGAATTCCCTTTATTTTGGGACAATAAGTCTTTTGTTGCTTTTTTTTGGTTCAGGAATGGTTTAAAGCAGTAACAAATGTCAAAAATCGTCATCTGGAATAAGTTGTCAACAGATGGGCAATGCTAACCTGCTAGCTCAATGTAGCCCAATAAGGAAGTATTTTTCCAACTGGCTCTGGCTCCAATTGACGCCTCTAGCTCATGGCTTTAGCGCTTAACTCAACTTATTGGGCCTCCTTAACTTTTGGCATCCCCTTGAGAAGAAAAAAATATTATACAGAAACATATTTTTAACTTTGTATTTAGAACAGACTAATTCTCAACACTCAGACTCCCAGAATTATGAAACTAGCTAACTAACTATTTGCTCAAACTAACCTAATTCCAATACACGATTTTAGTATCTATTTTTCAATTCTTTTGTTTTTCCCAATAGCATCTGTTTTCAAACACATGCGATCACATTTGGACTTGTTTTTGTATCGTTATAAGTGTCCGGTGAGAGTTAAAAAGTGGTCAGTCTCCATCTGAAATGAATCTGATCCGTGATTTTGAACTCCTCACATGTCCACCCGATCCTCCGTGATAAATGCCGATCCATCTTCATCGTTGGGTCCAGTTGGCTCCTCCACAAGCAACACATTTTTCTTAAAGCTTTCAACTCCTTTCAGCTGTCAACCACCACGTCTCTGCGGCTGAGTGATGGCACTTTTTGAAGCTATTATGAAAAAAATATGCATATTTCTCTTTGGTTGGGATTTGTCTCTGCTTTTGTTGGCGGATAAGGCGTAGACTGTGTACAGATGGGCAGTGCTAACCCGGCGAGCTCAGTGAAGGCTAATGGGGAAGTGCTCATGGATGAAGTTTGGCTCCAACTCGCTTTGACTTCTATTGACTTACATGGAAAAGTAAACTCCTCTAGCTCAGTAAGTGTTTGTGTCTGACTGAGGCTGTAGATCTAGGACTGAGGCTGTGGATCCAGGACTGAGGCTGTGGATCCAGGACTGAGGCTGTGGATCCAGGACTGAGGCTGTAGATTCAGGACTGAGGCTGTGGATCCAGGACTGAGGCTGTGGATCCAGGACTGAGGCTGTAGATCCAGTACTGAGGCTGTGGATCCAGGACTGAGGCTGTAGATCCAGGACTGAGGCTGTGGATTCAGGACTGAGGCTGTAGATCCAGTACTGAGGCTGTGGATCCAGGACTGAGGCTGTAGATCCAGTACTGAGGCTGTGGATCCAGGACTGAGGCTGTAGATCCAGGACTGAGGCTGTAGATTCAGGACTGAGGCTGTGGATCCAGGACTGAGGCTGTAGATCCAGGAGTGAGGCTGTAGATCCAGGACTGAGGCTGTAGATCCAGGACTGAGGCTGTAGATTCAGGACTGAGGCTGTGGATCCAGGACTGAGGCTGTAGATCCAGGACTGAGGCTGTAGATTCAGGACTGAGGCTGTGGATCCAGGACTGAGGCTGTGGATCCAGGACTGAGGCTGTAGATTCAGGACTGAGGCTGTGGATCCAGGACTGAGGCTGTGGATCCAGGACTGAGGCTGTAGATCCAGTACTGAGGCTGTGGATCCAGGACTGAGGCTGTAGATCCAGGACTGAGGCTGTGGATTCAGGACTGAGGCTGTAGATCCAGTACTGAGGCTGTGGATCCAGGACTGAGGCTGTAGATCCAGTACTGAGGCTGTGGATCCAGGACTGAGGCTGTAGATCCAGGACTGAGGCTGTAGATTCAGGACTGAGGCTGTGGATCCAGGACTGAGGCTGTAGATCCAGGAGTGAGGCTGTAGATTCAGGACTGAGGCTGTGGATCCAGGACTGAGGCTGTAGATCCAGGACTGAGGCTGTAGATTCAGGACTGAGGCTGTGGATCCAGGACTGAGGCTGTAGATCCAGGACTGAGGCTGTAGATCCAGGACTGAGGCTGTAGATCCAGGACTGAGGCTGTGGATCCAGGACTGAGGCTGTAGATCCAGTACTGAGGCTGTGGATCCAGGACTGAGGCTGTAGATCCAGGACTGAGGCTGTAGATTCAGGACTGAGGCTGTGGATCCAGGACTGAGGCTGTAGATCCAGGACTGAGGCTGTAGATTCAGGACTGAGGCTGTGGATCCAGGACTGAGGCTGTAGATCCAGGACTGAGGCTGTAGATTCAGGACTGAGGCTGTAGATCCAGGACTGAGACTGTAGATCCAGGACTGAGGCTGTAGATCCAGGACTGAGGCTGTAGATCCAGGACTGAGGCTGTGGATCCAGGACTGAGGCTGTAGATCCAGGACTGAGGCTGTAGATTCAGGACTGAGGCTGTGGATCCAGGACTGAGGCTGTAGATCCAGGACTGAGGCTGTAGATCCAGGACTGAGGCTGTAGACCCAGGACTGAGGCTGTAGATCCAGGACTGAGGCTGTAGATCCAGGACTGAGGCTGTAGATCCAGGACTGAGGACGCTCCCAGGGAGACAGTCCACAGGTGCAGTTAAAAAAGGCCAAGTTCAGGGGTGCCATCATCACGCCATGAAACAGACAAAGGGACAGTGGGTGAATAGCAGTAAACAGACTACAGCTGAAGCCAAACTGACTAAAGATAATGTAGGAGAGAGGATCCATGGGCTTCACTGACAATCTGTGTTTTTTTTCTTCTTCAATGTAAGTCAATAGAAGATGGAGGGAGTTGGACGAGAACTTCACCCATGAGCACTTCCCTTTTGGGCTTTGGCTCATAATGAAAAACGCTGTCAGAATTAACCTTTGCTGAAAGTATATTGACATTAATGAATTGCAGTGAAGCTCTTATTATTAACGTAGGTGGAAAAGGTTCAGAGTGAAGTACATCCTGAACGGAAAATTAAATCAGCCTCAATCTCACCTTTGATTAAATACAACAATAGTTTTATTCAAACTTTTGTTATACATTTGCACATGCTTGTTCCCATGGCAACAAGGACACACACACACACACACACACACACACACAGAGACACACATTCACACAGAGACACATATACAGACAGACACACACACAGACACACACACACACACACACAGACACATACACAGACAGACACACACGCACACACACACAGAGAGACACATATACAGACAGACACACACACACACACACACACACTCACAGAGACACATATACAGACAGACACACACACACACACAGAGACACATATACAGACAGACAGACACACACACACACACACAGAGACACATATACAGACAGACACACACACACAGAGACACATATACAGACAGACACACACACAGACAAAGACACATTTACAGAAACACACACACACAGAAACACCTAAACAGAAACACACACAGACAGAAACACACACACACACACACAGACAGAAACACACACACACACAATACTTTATCGATCATGAAATTGTGCATTAGTCCCATGATAATTAAGTTTGTATGAAATAAAACACACTTGCCACATTGGCGCCGTGGCGAGGACTGGGGATGGAAAATAGCCTGATGCTAAATCTGGTGCAGCCGTCTTTTTCATGGCATTTAAAAAACTTCATTCAACTTCAAGAGCGATAAATAACAACACAAAAGAGAAGGTACGGTTCTGAAAGACAGTGTTCAGGACATCTCTCTCTCTCCTCCCTGAAGTGGAGATGGTATAAAGTCTGATAAGGACCAAAGAGATCTCGAGTTTGTCCTTGGAGCTGGAGCTTCTCTGATGGGAGAAGACCGAGTCAAGGTTTTTAGAGTTTGTTGCCAATGCAGGACAGTGGTGATGATGCAGGACACGTTTAACAACACTTATGGACCTTATTCACATTTATGGACATTGGTCTATGCTCCTCCTACTGATGTGATTTAGGGCTCTGGTGTCTCTCTCTTGTCCCTCTGGTCACTCTCTCTATTCACTCTCTTGTCTCTCTCTTTTCTTTATAGTCTCTCTCTCTTGTCTCTCTCTGGTCCCTCTGCTCTCTCTCTGGTCTCTCTCTCTGGTCTCTCTGCTACCTCTACAGTCTCTCTCTCTCTCTAGTCTCTCTCTGGTCCCTCTGCTCTCTTTCTGGTCTCTCTCACTAGTCTCTCTCTCTAATCTCTCTCTCTGGTCTCTTTGCTAGTGCTACCTCTCTGATCTCTCTCTGGTCCCTCAATCTCTTTCTGGTTTCTCTCTCTGGTTTCTCTCTTTCTCTCTGGTCTCTGATTGGACGTTCTCTATCTTCTCCCCTGAGTCAAGGTCCAGTCCAGGCCCAGTCCAGGCCCAGTCCAGGCCCAGTCCAGGCCCAGTCCAGGCCCAGTCCAGGCCCAGTCCAGGCCCAGTCCAGGCCCAGTCCAGGTCCAGTCCAGGTCTAGTCCAGGTCCAGTCCAGGCCCAGTCCAGGCCCAGTCCAAGTCCAGTCCAGGTCCAGCCCAGGCCCAGTCCAACAGCAGTGTTTGTGTTTCTGTGTCCAGGATCTGCAGAGAGACATTGAGCAGCACTCTGAGGGCGTGGCCTCTGTCCTGAACCTCTGTGACGTGCTGCTCCAGGACGAGGACGCGTCTCAGGGGCCCGGGGCCGAGAGCGAGTCCCTGCAGGACACCAGCATCAGCCTGGACCAGCGCTGGAGGACCATCTGTGCCATGGCCCTGGACCGCCGACTCCGGTACGGTACCAGGAGAGACGTCTTCACAAACATATGGTGCTAATATGCGCTTCAGACCAGGATTATTGACTTAAACAATTTAAATATCAGTATTTATCAAAAATGTATCTTTTAAACGCAGAGAGCTGATTGGCCGATGTGGGAGGGCCCCTTTTTCACTTTTCTATGTGAAAAATGTAACAGAGGTCAAAATGCCAATTCCAGACTACTTCTTACTGTTTCCACGGACATTATTAGTTTAGATTCTGTACAATGACTTCAATAATCTCTGATATACAGTAATCCAACCCATTTATCACCACCTTTCTGGCATTTCTCTCCCAGCCCTGACCCCACACAGCCCACCTCTCTGACCCCACACAGGCCACCTCTCTGACCCCACACAGCCCACCTCTCTGACCCCACACTGTCCACCTCTCTGACCCCACACAGTCCACCTCTCTGACCCCACACAGTCCACCTCTCTGACCCCACACAGCCCAGCTCTCTGACCCCACACTGTCCACCTCTCTGACCCCACACAGCCCACCTCTCTGCCCCTCTCACATCCTTGTCTCGTGAGCAAACTTTAACCATGTGTCCGCTGTGTCTCCAGCATCGAGGAAACGTGGAGACTCTGGTGCAAGTTCCTCGACGACTACTCTCGGTTCGAAGACTGGCTGAAGGCGGCGGAGAGGGCGGCGGCCAACCCCAACAGCGCAGACGTCCCGTACGCCGCGGCCAAGGAGGAGCTCAAGAAGTTCGAGGTCAGTTTGAGTTTTATGGACCGGACAGTTCTGCTACAGGCCGTTTCCAATAACACTAAGACTCTCTCAAAATATATGGACCTTTTTATGTAAGCAACGCTCACAGGGATTTTCCAAAGTCGCTGAGATGTTTCATGGAACAGGACTTTTGTGCAGAAAAACAGAATATAAAATGTAATAGAATATGACGGTATGTTTATGTTCAGGCTCTGCTATTACCAGACTTTCTCTGGTCTCTCTCTGGTATTTCTGGTTTCTCTTTGGGCCCTTGTCTGGTCTTTCTCTGGTCTCTCTCAGGTGTCTGGTCTCTCTCTGGTATTTCTCTCTGGTCTCTCTCTCTGATCTCTCTCTGGGCTGTCCCTGATCTCTCTCTCTGGTCTCTCTCTGGTCGATCTCTGGTCTCTCTTTGGTCCCTCTCTGGTCTCTCTCTCTTGTCTCTCCCTGATCTCTCTCTGGGCTCTCTCTGATCTTTCTCTGGTCTCTCTCTGATCTTTCTCTGGTCTCTCTCTGGTCTTTCTCTGGTCTCTCTGTGGTTTCTCTTTGGATCTTGTCTGGTCTCTCTTACTGGTCTCTCTCTGGTATTTCTCTCTGGTCTTTCTCTGGTATCTCTCTGGTCTCTCTCTGGTCTCTCTCTCTGGTCTCTCTCTGGTCTCTCTCTGGTCTCTCTCTCTGGTCTCTCTCTGGTCTCTCTCTCTGGTCTCTCTCTGGTCTCTCTCTGGTCTCTCTCTGGTCTCTCTCTGGTCTCTCTCTAGTCTCTCTCTGGTCTCTCTCTGGTCTCTCTCTGGTCTCTCTCTGGTCTCTCTCTGGTCTCTCTCTGGTCTCTCTCTGGTCTCTCTCTGGTTTCTCTCACTTCAGCAGTGGTAAGTTCAGGTTGTTAGTAAAGTATATATAGTGTGAGAGTTTTACAGCTGTTACTGAGAGCATTTACCTTTTTGTGGGTTACTCTAAGAACACATCACCCGTGTCCTAAACCAGACCTCAGTGGATTTACTTTCCTTTCACTCTCTCTCTGCGCAGACTTTCCAGAGACAGGTCAACGAGCGTTTGACTCAGCTGGAGATCATCAACAACCAGTACCGGCGCTTGGCCCGGGAGAACCGCACGGACCGGGCCAGCCAGCTGAAGACCATGGTGCACCAGGGGAACCAGCGCTGGGAGGTCCTGCACCGGAGAGTGGGAGCCATCCTCCGCAGACTCAAGGTACAAGTCCACACACAACCTCACTAAATGATGGGACCACAGTGTCCACAGTATGTGACATTTGTGAAGGATAATGGTGAGGCAGGAAACACACAAAGCATTTTAAGACCAAAGCCAAAAAATCTCAAATTTTACAAATGAACGAGGCCAAAATCATCAAATATTACCAGAACACAACGCAAACCACACAAGACACACAAGGGGAACAAAAGGGGTGACAAGACTACGGCACAAAACATATATTAATATATTATTTATACACGTACAACTAGAAATTATACAACGGCAGAAGGCGCTGTGAGTAACAAAAACAGTGCTACAAAACACTAAAAATATCAAAAACATTCAAAACAAAGTAAAAAATATATAAAGTCCCATTATAAAAGATAGGAGAAAGTACAATACTCAGTCCAAATACTTCAAATAGTACAACAGATACACACACCCAAAGTATTAGCCCCAAAGAGACGATGAAACTGAACGAAACGAGGAATAACATGTGAAGAAGAAGAAGATGGAGTGAAGAGAACTGTGTGAACTCGGTGAGCTGAGTGTAGTGAAGCCGCAGCAGTGATATTAACGGTCGTACCATGTGCTGCAGTATTTCACGGGTCAGAGGGAGGAGTTCGAGAGCACCAGAGAGAGCATGCTGGTGTGGCTGACCGAGCTGGACCTGCAACTCACCAACGTCGAGCACTTCTCCGAGTGCGACGTCCACCACAAGATCCAGCAGCTCAACGTAAGAACACACACATACACACACGCAGAGACACACACACACACACACACACACGCAGACAGACACACATACACAGAACACTATAGCCTCAGTCCTCGTTCTACAGTCTGAGTCCTGGATCTAAAGCCTCAGTCCTCGTTCTACAGTCTGAGTCCTGGGTCTACAGCCTCAGTCCTCGTTCTACAGTCTGAGTCCTGGATCTAAAGCCTCAGTCCTCGTGCTACAGTCTGAGTCCTGGGTCTACAGCCTCAGTCCTCGTTCTACAGTCTGAGTCCTGGATCTACGGCCTCAGTCCTCGTTCTACAGTCTGAGTCCTGGATCTACAGCCTCAGTCCTCGTTCTACAGTCTGAGTCCTGGATCTACAGCCTCAGTCCTCGTTCTACAGCCTCAGTCCTGGATCTACGGCCTCAGTCCTCGTTCTACAGTCTGAGTCCTGGGTCTACAGCCTCAGTCCTCGTTCTACAGTCTGAGTCCTGGATCTACCGCCTCAGTCCTCGTTCTACAGTCTGAGTCCTGGGTCTACAGCCTCAGTCCTCGTTCTACAGTCTGAGTCCTGGATCTACGGCCTCAGTCCTCGTTCTACAGTCTGAGTCCTGGATCTACAGCCTCAGTCCTCGTTCTACAGTCTGAGTCCTGGATCTACAGCCTCAGTCCTCGTTCTACAGCCTCAGTCCTGGATCTACGGCCTCAGTCCTCGTTCTACAGTCTGAGTCCTGGATCTACGGCCTCAGTCCTCGTTCTACAGTCTGAGTCCTGGATCTACAGCCTCGGTCCTTGGTCTACAGTCTGAGTCCTGGATCTACAGCCTCGGTCCTTGGTCTACAGTCTGAGTCCTGGATCTACAGCCGGTCCGAGTGGAGCAGATCCCTCTCCAATAACAGAACAGGGATTCAAGGAAGACACAGGGTTTAAATACAATACTATGAATAAATAATAATAATAATACATCAAACTTACATGGTGCTTTCTTTGGACACTCAAAGACGCTTTACAAAACACAAAACGCAAGAGTTTAAAGGACTTGAAAAAATAATTGGCTCATAATTCAGCAAGTACGGAATAAATTCTTAGACTACAGTTTTTATATGTTGTCATTGTGGTGATTGAAAATGCCAGCCTGGTTGTTTGTCAAATGAATAACATGTTTGAACAGAGGTTGCCATAGTGGTGAAGTATTTCTACATTTTCTCCCCATTTCTTCAGCCTAGTTTCCTGTTACTTTAATGTAGCTGGAGCCAGAGAACACATCAACAGCTTTAAAAAATCACTTTTCAGATTGAACAGACTTAGCTGCTCTTACACGATCTGTCGCTGCGGTGACTTTTCTGCTGAAACATCTTCACAAACACCCACAACTAGCTGTTAAAGGATTTCCTGTCAGTGTGGATTTCCTCTGGTCTCTCTTCGGCTTCTCTCCGGTCTCTCACTGATCTCTCTCTGGTCTCTCACTGGTCTCTCACTGGTCTCTCACTGGTCTCTCTCTGGTCTCTCGCTGGTCTCTCACTGGTCTCTCTCTGGTCTCTCACTGGTCTCTCTCTGGTCTCTCACTGGTCTCTCTCTCTGGTCTCTCTCTGGTCCACTGGTCTCTCTCTGGTCTCTCACTGGTCTCTCACTGGTCTCTCTCTGGTCTCTCTCTGGTCCACTAGTCTCTCTCTGGTCTCTCTCTGGTCTCTCACTGGTCTCTCTCTGGTCTCTCTCTGGTCTCTCACTGGTCTCTCACTGGTCTCTCTCTGGTCTCTCTCTGGTCTCTCTCTCTGGTCTCTCTCTCTGGTCTCTCTCTCTGGTCTCTCTCTCTGGTCTCTCTCTCTCTGGTCTCTCACTGGTCTCTCTCTGGTGTCTCACTGGTCTCTCTCTGGTCTCTCACTGGTCTCTCACTGGTCTCTCTCTCTGGTCTCTCACTGGTCTCTCTTTGGTCTCTCACTGGTCTCGCTCTCTGGTCTTCTCGTAGCTAGCCCTCAGTCCTGTCTCTCTCCTCCCTCTCTCTCTCTCCCCACCCCTCTTTCCCTCCTCTCTCCCTCTCTCCTCCTCTCTCCCTCTCTCACTCCCCACCCCTCTCTCTCTCCCGCTCTCTTCATCCTCCCTCCTGTCTCTCTCTCTTTCACTCTCTTCTCCTACCCCCCCCCCCCCCCCCCCCCCCCCCACTCTCTCTCTCTATCTCTCTCTCTCTCCTTCTCTCCTTCTATCCACAGACATATTGCAGCAATTACCCCTCTGTCACAGACCATTGACCGTGGGCCTTCTCCACAATCCTCGGCTGTTTTCTTTTGCCTCCAGAGTTTCCAGAAGGAGATCAGGCTGAACACTGAGCGCATTGACGGACTGATCGTGTTTGGGGAGAGCCTGATCCAGCGCAGCGCTCCTGGGGACGCCGCCGTGATCGAGGAGGAGCTGGAGGAGCTTCACACGTACTGTCAGGAGGTGTTCGGCCGACTGGTCCGCTTCCACCACAGACTGAGCCAGCCCCCGGTGAGAGAGACCCCCCCCGGCAGGACACCATTCCACTCTCTGTGTTTATATGGTTCTATATACAGTATCTACAGTATATGAGTGGAGCTCCAAGTCACAGCACATCATCCTCGTTTTCTTTTAAATAGTCTCCTTCTCTCTAGTCTCTTTCTCTGGTCTCTCTCTAGTATCTCTCTAGTCTCTCTCTCTGGTCTCTCTCTGATCTCTCTCTGATCTCTCTCTCTCTGGTCTCTGGTCTCTCTCTGATCTCTCTCTCTCTGGTCTCTAGTCTCTCTCTGGTCTCTCTCTGCTCTTTCTCTCTCTGGTCTCTAGTCTCTCTCTGGTCTCTCTCTGCTCTTTCTCTGGTCTATCTTGTCTCTCTCCCTGATCTCTCTCTCTGGTCTCTCTCAGTCTCTCTCTGGTCTCTTTCTATGGTCTCTTCCGGGTCTTTCCCATGTCTCTCTCTCTGGCCTGTCTGTAGAGTAGAGTAGAAAAACCCTTAGAGATAGGGTGAGGCTGGGGTGTCTGTTTGGGGTACCTAAGGACGCCTCTCTGGGTCTTCCCTGGTCCCACAGGGAGGAGACCAGGGTAATACCAGGACACAGAGCTGGCCTGGAAACGCCTCAGCATTCCCCCAGATGAGCTGGAGGAAGTGTGTGTGGAGAGGAAAGTCTGTGTCTCTGCTCAGACTGCTGCCCCCGCCACTCGGCAACGGATAAAGCAGAAGAAAATGCGAGTCATGGCATTCTTCATTTTAAAGCTCAGAATCAGTGTTACAATCCATTGGCCCCGAGACAGATTTGGCAAAAGTGGCCCTCATACTAAATTAATGTGGGCCCCTGCACTAGAGTGATGGTCTGTAGATTTCTTATTTTTAACTTGTCGTTCTTCTGCCTCAGATTCCTGTGGAGCCTGAATCCCCCGTCACCAGCTTCTCCTTGGAGTCCAGTCTGGAGCTGATTGGTCGGTCGTGGTTGGGGCGGAGCCTGAGCAGTCCTTTGGCCACGCCCACTCGGCTGGTGACCACGCCCCTGTCCCGATCGGGCCGCGAGACTCCGGTCAGTGTGGACTCTCTGCCTCTGGAGTGGGACCACACGGGGGACGTGGGCGGGTCTTCGTCACATGAGGATGAGGAAGACGAGCTGGAGGAGGAAGGGGCCTATTTCAGCGCAGGTAACAACTGCTTCACCTGGACTGGATTTCACTTATTTATTACTGTTTATTTACAAATTACGAAGTGTAGATAGGAACATATAGGAACAGTCAAACTACAGTACTGGACTGTGTGTGTCTGTTTGGGTGTGTGTGTGTGTGTGTGTGTGTGTGTGTGTATGCACGCTGCTCTAGGCACTTGTGTGGAGCCGATGTCTACTACAGCAGTGGGTTAAAAACAGTGGATTTAAAAACAGTGGATTTAAAAACAGTGGGTTAAAAACAGTGGATTTAAAAACAGTGGGTTTAAAAACAGTGGGTTTAAAAACAGTGGGTTTAAAACAGTGGGTTTAAAAGAGTGGGTTTAAAACAGTGGGTTAAAACAGTGGGTTTAAAACAGTGGGTTTAAAAGAGTGGGTTTAAAACAGTGGGTTAAAAACAGTGGGTTAAAAACAGTGGGGTTAAAACAGTGGGTTAAAACAGTGGGTTTAAAAACAGTGGGTTTAAAAACAGTGGGTTTAAAACAGTGGGTTAAAACAGTGGGTTTAAAACAGTGGGTTAAAAACAGTGGGTTAAAAACAGTGGGTTAAAAACAGTGGGCTAAAAACAGTGGGTTAAAACAGTGGGTTAAAAACAGTGGGTTAAAACAGTGGGTTTAAAACAGTGGGTTAAAAACAGTGGGTTAAAAACAGTGGGTTTAAAAACAGTGGGTTAAAAACATTGGGTTTAAAAACAGTGGGTTAAAACAGTGGATTAAAAACAGTGGGTTAAAACAGTGGGTTTAAACAGTGGGTTAAAACAGTGGGTTTAAACAGTGGGTTTAAACAGTGGGTTAAAACAGTGGGTTAAAACAGTGGGTTAAAAACAGTGGGTTAAAACAGTGGGTTAAAACAGTGGGTTAAAACAGTGGGTTAAAAACAGTGGGTTAAAACAGTGGGTTAAAAACAGTGGGGTTAAAAACAGTGGGTTTAAAAACAGTGGGTTTAAAAACAGTGGGTTAAAACAGTGGGTTTAAAAACAGTGGGTTTAAAAACAGTGGGTTAAAAACAGTGGGTTTAAAAACAGTGGGTTTAAAAACAGTGGGTTTAAAAACAGTGGGTTAAAACAGTGGGTTAAAACAGTGGGTTAAAACAGTGGGTTAAAACAGTGGGTTTAAAAACAGTGGGTTTAAAACAGTGGGTTTAAAACAGTGGGTTTAAAACAGTGGGTTTAAAACAGTGGGTTAAAAACAGTGGGTTAAAACAGTGGGTTTAAAAACAGTGGGTTTAAAAACAGTGGGTTTAAAAACAGTGGGTTTAAAACAGTGGGTTAAAACAGTGGGTTTAAAACAGTGGGTTAAAACAGTGGGTTAAAAACAGTGGGCTAAAAACAGTGGTTTAAAACAGTGGGTTAAAAACAGTGGGTTAAAAACAGTGGGTTAAAAACAGTGGGTTAAAAACAGTGGGTTAAAAACAGTGGGTTAAAACAGTGGATTAAAAACAGTGGGTTAAAACAGTGGGTTTAAACAGTGGGTTAAAACAGTGGGTTTAAACAGTGGGTTTAAACAGTGGGTTAAAACAGTGGGTTAAAAACAGTGGGTTAAAACAGTGGGTTAAAAACAGTGGGTTAAAACAGTGGGTTAAAACAGTGGGTTTAAAAACAGTGGGTTTAAAACAGTGGGTTAAAAACAGTGGGTTTAAAAACAGTGGGTTTAAAAACAGTGGGTTAAAACAGTGGGTTTAAAAACAGTGGGTTTAAAAACAGTGGGTTAAAAACAGTGGGTTAAAACAGTGGGTTAAAAACAGTGGGTTAAAACAGTGGGTTTAAAAACAGTGGGTTAAAACAGTGGGTTTAAAAACAGTGGGTTTAAAAACAGTGGGTTAAAACAGTGGGTTAAAACAGTGGGTTTAAAAACAGTGGGTTAAAACAGTGGGTTTAAAAACAGTGGGTTTAAAAACAGTGGGTTAAAACAGTGGGTTAAAACAGTGGGTTAAAACAGTGGGTTAAAACAGTGGGTTAAAACAGTGGGTTAAAACAGTGGGTTTAAAAACAGTGGGTTAAAACAGTGGGTAGAATGTCTGTGGTAATACTCTCGAGTAAAATGTATGAATCATCCAAATATTTTCTAAATTGGCAATTTCCAAACACTCTCCAAACGTCTGCTGCTGCTCACACAAACTGAACTGGAGCGAAGGGTCTTCCATTGATGTACTAAAAGCATTTCATTCTGAGCTATTCTGAGTTCTTCCGTTATGTCCCTTTTAGAGCCATTTACAGTGGACGGATAAAGCACCAATGCATCTGCAGTTATTCTACATCTATATAGATTATTTTTATTTATTTATTAATGACAACAACAGAACATTCAACTGTAAAATGTGGTTCATAGCCTTCAAAAGTGTCCTGACTAGACTTGAGGTCTCTCTCTAGTCTCCCTCTGGTCTCTCTCTGGTCTCTCTCTAGTCTCTCTCACTCTCTCTAGTCTCTCTCTCTCTCTCTAGTCTCTCTCTGGTCTCTCTCTAGTCTCTTTCTGGTCTCTCTCTAGTCTCTCTCACTCTCTCTAGTCTCTCTCTCTCTCTCTAGTCTCTCTCTGGTCTCTCACTAGTCTCTTTCTGGTCTCTCTCTAGTCTCTCTCTCTGGTCTCTCTCTATTCTCTCTCTCTCTCGTTCTAGTCTCTCGTCTCTCTCCAAGAACCCAAATAAGCTTCTATGCTAAATTGTCAAATGAGAGAGACAAGAGAGAGAGTGAGACCAGATAGAGAGAGAGAGAGAGAGAAAGAGAAAGAGAGACCAGCCATATTTGGTCATTGAATGCTGCTTTTTTCTCCACCCTATCTTCATTGACAAATAAGGCCATAGATAATTATTTTCTACAAATATTTGTATGTCTGCGTTCTTCGGGGTTTGCTGCTACAGTCTGGTCCTTAAAAATACTAAAATAACAAAAATATCCAACTTTTGCAGCCCACTGTAAACCCGCCTCTATACGATGCTTTTCCCGTAGTGTCCAGCCGTTCTGTGTGCGATTCTCCAAGATGGCGGACGCAGGACGACCCGGACCTCCTCCATCTGGAATCTGAAGGTCTCCACGGAGCTCCGCCCACTCTCTCCAGCACGCCGCGGAAACACGACGACTACGTGAGCCTCCAGCAGAGACCCTCACACCTGCACTTTGGTACTTTGTGGATGTTGACTGTTGGTTTTGCCCACACAGATGCAGCTGATGTCCCAGTGCAGCGGCAGCATCGAGGACTTTAGGAGAGTCTCCCTGATCCTGGAGGACGAGGACTCGGCGGACGAGTTTGGGATGATGGGACTGACCGCGACTGGCCGGCAATCAGGTGAGGGACATAGATACTGGACAGCTGCTCTGAATTAAAGAGTTTAAAGCTTTTAACCAGGTTACAACACTGTTATCTCACTGCTTTCTGGAGTCTCTCTGGTCTCTCTCTGGTCTCACTCTGGTCTTTCTCTGGTCTCTTTCTGGTCTTTCTCTGGTATTTCTCTGGTCTCTCCCTGGTCTTTTTCTGGTCTTTCTCTGGTTTTTCTCTGGTCTCTCTCTGGTCTTTCTCTGGTCTCTCCCTGGTCTTTTTCTGGTCTCTCTCTGGTCTCTCTCTGGTCTATCTCTAGTCTCTCTCTGGTGTCGCTCTGGTCCCTCTATGGTCTCTTTCTGGTCTCTCTGGTCCCTCTAGTCTCTCTCTGGTCTCTTTGATCTTTATAGTCTCTCTCTAGTCTCTTTCTGGTCTCTCTGGAGTCTCTCTCTGGTCCCTCTAGTCTCTCTCTGGTCTCTTTGATCTTTATAGTCTCTCTCTAGTCTCTTTCTGGTCTCTCTCCAGTCTTACTCTGGTCTCTCTCTGGTTTCTCGTTAGTCTCTCTCTGGTCTCTCTCTGGTCTTTCTCTGGTCTTTCTCTGGTCTCTCTCTGGTCTCTCTCTGGTCTCCATCTACCCTGCGATGCGGCAAATATGTCTTATTATTTTGAGAATAATTCAGAACAGATGCAGGTGAGCGAGTGATGGAAGCTAACGGTGAAACTGTTAATCTCGTTATGAAATCCTGTTGTGTCCACTTAAAACAGTAGTCTCTCTTCTTCACCGTCTTCTCTTTTCTTTCTCTGCCTCAGGAGTGATCGAGCGCTGGGAGCTGCTGCGAGCCCAGTCCCAATGCGACCTGCGGGACCAGGAGGAGCAGGAGGACCAGGAGGAGCAGGCGTGCTGGGGCCTCGACGAGCTCCACGTCTGGCTGGACACCGTGACTCCTCAGCTCCAACTCGTTCTACAGTCTGACTCTCCCAGCACCGTGCAGGACATGAGCAGCCAGGCCACACAGCTCAAGGTGAGGGATTCTCAAACGGGGCCACACGTACCTACGCTGCAGCTACTGGTGCAACCCGATCAGGACCACACCGTAGTCATAGATACCCCTGTGGCAAAAGGGGCGCGATAATCTACCACGGCATTAAAGGGGACGGGGAATCTCCTTCTCTGCACAGTCCCCCACGAAGCAGCAGGAGGAAGATAAAGCCAGTGCAGGACGCAGAAACTTAATTCAATGTATTTTTGTATCGCTCTAAATCCAACTGTAGTTATCTCTGTGCAATAATGTCGATTCACCAACACAGATCAGAGAATCAAACAGTTAAAAAACAAGAAAAATGCAATGATAGAAAAATACATTATAACTCCATAAGGAGCTGAAACCAATGTCCATAAAGGAGAATGCAGGCGGGTCTATAGGGTCTGTATAGTTAAGTACATAGTTACCTGTATAGTTACTTTTTTAGTTACCAGTATAGTTACCTGTATAGTATTTGGTGTGTCTTCAGGAGATGCAGAGGCAGTTCTCCCTCCACAAGTCCAGCATGCTGTCTCTGAACCTGAACCCCCTGGACCCCCTGGAGCCCGGTCACCGCCAGGACCTGTCTGTGGTGAACCAGAAGTGGAGCGTGGCCAGCACTCACCTCCAGCTCTGGGAGGCCTCTCTGAGAAAAACACTACTGCGTTGCCAGGTAAGACTTTATTTACAAATTACAGTGTGGTCCAGATCTGCATGCAGCCTCACATCCCGCATGAGGACGCATAAATGTCCTCCTCACATCCGCTCGGTTCACTCCCAGGAGAGAAGGAACCCACTCGTTTGATTAGGTCTGACTCACATACTTCCCAATGTGATGATGAAGACGAGATGACTGAAGGCTTAATGACTTTGTCCCAAGGGCGTAGGTTTGCGTGGGGACCATGGGGACATGTCCCCACCAATATTTGGTGAGGACTAATAAGTCCCCACCAAAATGACATGATGTCCCGTGACCCGGACGGTCCGGGACACATGTCTTCCGTTTGTGCACACGTCGCGCCTCCTCCTCGCCTCCAGAGCAACAGCAGCAGCAGCAGCACGTGACCCGTTCCGTTCTCTGCAGTGATTGGCTGTCTTCTTCAGCGCCAAACTGAAGCACTGAGCGACTGTTTAATTTTTAAAAGTTAGCCAGCGTGAAGCAAGTGTTTTTTTCGTTCCCTGAGCGTTGTAGCACGTGAGTAATCAGAGGAAAGTACTGTAGATCTATTACCATTCAAAGTACTTACGTTATTTCTAATCTGTCAGCGCACTGTTTAATGTTCCGAGGAGCTCACACGGCACAGAGACAGAACAGAACTGGCTCCAATAAAGAAACAGGTTGGTTGAAAGGCTGAAAAAATACTTATTGTGCTCTTACTATCCAAAATGTATAAGTGGGTGTGTTGCGTGAATCAGGATAAACTAGGGATGAAAATATTCCACGGATCCACGATTTACAACCTTTATCTGCTGATAATGTAATTTCTGTGAAATGTTTGACAGCGGGCACTTGCTGTTATTTGCTCTAAGCACATTCAAGAGATGCACTCGAATGTGCACGTCCTGGTGCAGCTGCTGCCGCTTTGTAATGACAGCCGCGGCGCTCAGTGAAAGCACAGCTCTAACATGGTACCGAGCTCGGACCATATGCAGACAGAACCATGTTGCAAGTGCGGGTCTCCCTCGTATCTCCCCCGTTTCTCCCCTGTGTCTCTGACATGTCTCTCCCCTGACTCTTCCCAAAGCGCAACCAGCGCTCCCGAAATTAAAGCTCGGATACCTAAATTTTCCATTGCGTTAACGATGCATGCTGGTTGTGCGCAAAACACACCACAACAGGTCATTTAAGTTTTTATTTTGCTTGAGAGCCCTGTGAGTCATTACTTGCCTTTTTGGGTTGAGAGTGGAATAAAAAAAAGAAAATATAGACAAATCCACACTGTTACTTATTGCCAAACTCTTGTTAACTCATTGTATTGAGAAATACTATATAACTTTTGACATTGGCCAAGTTATATAAATGATTCTGCAGTTCATGTATATGAATGTCTGTTTTTGATTGTCTATACCTTCTTATATAATTTAGAAAAAATGCCACCTCCACAAAAAAAGATAAAAGATATCAGGAGCTTTTTTAACAGTTGGAAAGTAAGTAAGAGAAAGCACAAGTAATAGCAAATTATGAATTGTGATGATTAATCTTCTGTTAACATACATAGGAAACTCAACCAACAAGAGAGAACAATATAGGGAATGTTGAGGTAGAAGCAACAGGCCCTTCAGTGCATCAGGTGAGGTTGGAATTTTGTAGGTATGCATGGGACTATGAATTGTTTTTAGAGATTGATCGTATATGTCAAACAATGTAGTGAGCTACTCACTGTAGATTCTAATTCAATATTTTCTCCTCTGACTATTAGAACAAATCCTTAACTGCTTCTCATTCAGTCTACAGCTGAGTTTAGTATAGAAGGCAACACACTATTGCAAATATAGTGTGTGATTACACAACAAATTCTGGGGGAGAAACTCTGGACCCCGTGTCAATGGGTGTAGACTCAGGTCGTAGTGAATGTCCCCACCAAGATTGGAACCAAACCTACACCATTGCTTTGTCCCATTGGCAAATCAAGTTTCAAGTTTCAAGCAGTCATTACCTCAGATTTAATGAGTGTAGTGAGTAGTTGTCGTAGTTAATAAAGCCAACGTATACTTTAAAATCAAATAAAATCTCTGTATATTTTCTAACAGTGCTTATGTGTCCAGGAGTTCCACGAGAGCCTGCAGTCGCTGCTGCTGTGGCTGGCCCACGCAGAGAGCAGACGCTACGCCGTGGACATCCATCACCCACAGACCTCACACCGAGCTCTGAGGCAGCACCGCGGCACGCTCACGGTACGAGGGTCTACGGGTTTTCATTCCAACCAGAGCAGGAGCACACCAGCAGTCAGTACTCACAAAGTTGTGGATTTGCCAAAGAGAGACTAGAGAGAGACGAGAGAGACCCTAGAAAGAACAAAGAGAGACTAGAGGGAGACGAGAGAGACCCTAGAAAGAACAAAGAGAGACTTAAGAGAGACCCGAGAAAGACCAGAGGAAGACCAGAGAAAGACCAGAGAGTGACCAGAGAGAGACTAGAGAGAGACTAGAGAGAGACCAGAGAGAACAAACACACAGGCTGTAGATCCAGGACTGAGGCTGTAGACTAGAGTTTCGTTCGGGCCTGAAAAATGAAGCCCGACCCGGCCCGAGCCCGCTAATGTTAAGCCCGAGCCCGTATAAGCCCGACCAATGAACGCTGTATAACAGGCCCGAGCCCGACAGAACCCGACACATCTGATTTCCCGTTGTACGCACTCACCTTCCAATTGCAAGTTTAGTCTCCACTTTTGAATTTGTTTTGTCTCCACTTGATCCATTTCTACTATTGTTCCTGTTCGCTGTTGACCACAGCAGCAGGAGACACGGGGATGATGCGTTCACGGCTCGCTGCTGCTGTAGGACACGCTGGTTACGGTGTCATTAATATATTCCATCCATCCATCCATTTTCTACCCATTAATCCATTTCTGGGTCAGGGGGGTGGCAGTCAGAGATGCCACCCAAGTCTCATAGCACCAGCCCCCATTAATATATTCACTTTTTTTAATAACTTGTTGTCAATCAACGGACATTGTTATTAATATATATATGTGCATATCATTATGTATAAAAATAATTTAAAAATAATTATAATAATAATAAAAAAGAAACATATATTTAAAAAAAGAAGCCCGAGCCCGGCACGAACCCGGCAGCTGAGCGCCAAATGAGGCCCGAGCCCGGCCCGAACTCAGGTCGGGCCTCGGCCCTGCTCGGGCTCGGGCTGAAAAGCGAAACTCTACTGTAGACCCAGGACTGAGACTGTGGATCCAGGACTGAGGCTGTAGATCCAGGACTGAGGCTGTAGACCCAGGACTGAGGCTGTGGATCCAGGACTGAGGCTGTAGACCCAGGACTGAGGCTGTAGATCCAGGACTGAGGCTGTAGACCCAGGACTGAGGCTGTAGACCCAGGACTGAGGCTGTAGACCCAGGACTGAGGCTGTAGACCCAGGACTGAGGCTGTAGACCCAGGACTGAGGCTGTAGACCCAGGACTGAGGCTGTAGACCCAGGACTGAGGCTGTAGACCCAGGACTGAGGCTGTGATCCAGGACTGAGAATCAAACAGAAATGCAAAAATATAGTGGAGATAAAGCTTGATGGTAAAAAATGCCTAAAACCAAGTGATAGAGATGCCCCAAAGAAGTAGATTTCAGCTTCTAGTAAATATAGTGGTGAGATAAAGTGATCCAGCAAATGAAACTATTGAAGGGTCAACCTGAAGACCTGTTGAATCAGGGGAGTGGCTGTGAGCTCGGTTTGGGTCGTTGAGGATCGGTCTGAAGTCCAGGTCTTGACGCTGTGGTGTGTGCAGGCCGTGCAGGAGGAGCTGCTGCAGAGACAGAGCCAGCAGGGGGCGCTCCTCTCTCTGTGGAGCCAGCTGCAGCCAGAGCAGACGGAGGACAGCGACGAGGCCCAAGAGAAGCTGCACGTGACGGGGACCAAGATGAAGGTCCTCCAGAGAGACCTGAGCCGAGACCTGAGGGCCCTGCAGCAGAGACTGGTGAGGACCAAGGCTGTAGGTCTAGGACTGAGGCTGTAGATCCAGGACTAAGGCTGTAGGTCTAGGACTGAGGCTGTAGACCCAGGACTGAGGCTGTAGATCCAGGACTGAGGCTGTAGACCCAGGACTGAGGCTGTAGATCCAGGACTGAGGCTGTAGATCCAGGACTGAGGCTGTAGATCCAGGACTGAGGCTGTAGATCCAGGACTGAGGCTGTAGATCCAGGACTAAGGCTGTAGGTCTAGGACTGAGGCTGTAGATCCAGGACTGAGGCTGTGAATCCAGGACTGAGGCTGTGAATCCAGGACTGAGGCTGTAGACCCAGGACTGAGGCTGTAGACCCAGGACTGAGGCTGTAGATCCAGGACTGAGGCTGTAGACCCAGGACTGAGGCTGTAGACCCAGGACTGAGGCTGTAGATCCAGGACTGAGGCTGTAGACCCAGGACTGAGGCTGTAGATCCAGGACTGAGGCTGTAGATCCAGGACTGAGGCTGTAGACCCAGGACTGAGGCTGTAGACCCAGGACTGAGACTGTAGACCCAGGACTTTTATCTTGGTACTTGTACTCCTGAAGTACTTGATGGAGAATACTTTTTGCTCTTTCCTCATTTCTAATATTTTTGGCGAAGCAGGAAAAGTGATTAATTTGAAAACTTTGAAGTCTTCAGTCTCAAAATAGTCAAAAACGGAGAAACTGTCGCAGGAGGTCAGTGTGACTCTGAATCATCAATGAGAAAGAGACACTCGTTCTCTCCGGGGAGAAATCTGACTTTTTATGTCAGATTTGTCAAAAATATAGTGTCGTGATTCAGGAGCACGTAGAGGATTTGTGGAAATGTAAGGTGCTGTATAAATAAAATGTGTTATTATAGTAATGGATCAGGGAAGTCTCTCTCTCTCTTGCCTCTCTGGCCTCTCTCTCTGGCCTCTCTCTCTGGTCTCTCTCTCTTGCCTCTCTCTCTTTTGCCTCTCTCTCTCTTGCCTCTCTCTCTCTTGCCTCTCTCTCTTGCCTCTCTCTCTGGTCTCTCTCTCTGGCCTCTCTCTCTCTGGTCTCTCTCTCTTGCCTCTCTCTCTCTTGCCTCTCTCTCTGGTCTCTCTCTCTGGTCTCTCTCTCTGGTCTCTCTCTCCCGTGCCTCTCTCTCTGGTCTCTCTCTCTTGCCTCTCTCTCTGGTCTCTCTCTCTCTGGTCTCTCTCTCTCTCTTGCCGCTCTCTCTGGTCTCTCCCTCTCTCTTGCCTCTCTCTCTGGTCTCTCTCTCTCTTGCCTCTCTCTCTGGTCTCTCTCTCTCTCTTGCCTCTCTCTCTGGTCTCTCTCTCTCTGGTCTCTCTCTCTCTTGCCTCTCTCTCTGGTCTCTCTCTCTCTTGCCTCTCTCTCTGGTCTCTCTCTCTCTTGCCTCTCTCTCTGGTCTCTCTCTCTTGTCTCTCTCTCTGGTCTCTCTCTCTCTTGTCTCTCTCTCTGGTCTCTCTCTCTCTTGCCTCTCTCTCTGGTCTCTCTCTCTCTTGCCTCTCTCTCTGGTCTCTCTCTCTCTGGTCTCTCTCTCTCTTGCCTCTCTCTCTGGTCTCTCTCTTGCCTCTCTCTCTGGTCTCTCTCTCTCTGGTCTCTCTCTCTCTTGCCTCTCTCTCTGGTCTCTCTCTCTCTTGCCTCTCTCTCTGGTCTCTCTCTCTCTGGTCTCTCTCTCTCTTGTCTCTCTCTCTGGTCTCTCTCTCTCTTGCCTCTCTCTCTGGTCTCTCTCTCTCTTGCCTCTCTCTCTGGTCTCTCTCACTTCAGGTTATTATAAAGTGTCAGGTGCTACTAAGAGGAGTTCACTTATTTTTAGAACGCATCACCCCTGTCACAAAAACCAGGGCCCACTGTAAATGGAAATCAATGTTTTGAGTGGGAGGCATCAAAATGACTTCTCTGGGTCCTGGTGTAAAAGGTTTAACCCTCTTTTATTCCTCGTCAGGAACAGGAGCCTCAGGCCGACGTCCAAAGAGCCTCCACTGTGCCTCAGAACACAAGGTGAGTTCTCCACGTCTGGTATGAATCCACTGAATTTGGATCTGAACTGAATAAACTCTCTCTGGTCTTTCTCTGGTCTCTCTCTGGTCTCTCTCTGGTCTCTCTCTGGTCTCTCTCTGGTCTCCCTCTGGTCTCCCTCTGGTCTCTCTCTGGTCTTTCTCTGGTCTCTCTCTGATCTCTCTCTGGTCTCCGTCCTGTCTCTCTCTGGTCTCTCTCTGGTCTCTCTCTGGTCTCTCTCTGGTCTCCCTCTGGTCTCCCACTGGTCTTACGCTGGTCTTGCTCTCTGGTCTCTCTCTCTGATCTCTGGTCTATTTTTGGTCTCCCTCTGGCCTCTCTCTGGTCTCTCTCTGGTCTATCTCTGGCCTCTCTCTGGCCTCTCTCTGGTCTCTCTCTGGTCTCTCTCTGGTCTCTCTCTCTGGTGTCTCTCTCTCTGTCTCCCTCTAGTCTCCCTCTAGTCTCTCTCTGGTCTCTCTCTGGTCTCCCTCTAGTCTCTCTCTAGTCTCTCTCTAGTCTCCCTCTAGTCTCCCTCTAGTCTCTCTCTGGTCTCGCTCTGGTGTAAATAAACTGAAGTTGGACCTGAACCAAAATGGCGTCCGCCTGAGTCCTGCCTCCTCTTGTTTCCAGGCAGAGGAGCGACCCGGCCCCGCGCTCCTTCCTCCACAGACTCCTGCGCGCCGCCTTCCCGCTGCACCTGCTGCTCCTCCTGCTGCTGCTGCTGTCCTGCCTGATGCCCCTGCCCCCTGCTGAGCACCGCTGCACTGGGGCCAACAACTTCGCCTCCTCCTTCTCCCCCATGCTCCACTACACCAACGGCCCTCCCCCCACATAACAGAGACCCCCCACAGAGAGACCTTTTACTCTGAGGACAGAAGAGTGGTTCAAATTGGACTGGACTTTAAAGCTGGGGTTCCTAACTTTAATTTCATTTTTGTATGTATTTATTTCAGGCAATGGCAAAGATAAGAGCAAGGACTGAGGCTGTAGATCGAGGACTGAGGCTGTAGACCCAGGACTGAGGCTGTAGACCCAGGACTCAGGCTGTAGACCCAGGACTGAGGCTGTAGACCCAGGACTGAGGCTGTAGACCCAGGACCGAGGCTGTAGACCCAGGACCGTGGCTGTAGACCCAGGACCGTGGCTGTAGATCCAGGACTCAGGCTGTAGACCCAGGACTGAGGCTGTAGACCCAGGACTGAGGCTGTGGACCCAGGACCGAGGCTGTAGACCCAGGACTGAGGCTGTAGACCCAGGACTGAGGCTGTAGACCCAGGACTCAGGCTGTAGACCCAGGACTGAGGCTGTAGACCCAGGACTCGAGGCTGTAGACCCAGGACTGAGGCTGTAGACCCAGGACTGAGGCTGTAGACCCAGGACTCAGGCTGTAGACCCAGTCATTCGATTTCACGATTTTCACATTTTTCATGAATTAAATTTTTTCAAAAGCCGATTAATTGTCAAAATTCGATTTATTGCCCAGCCCTAGAGAGACCAGTGCAGACCCGTATAGATCCATGGGAGAGACCAGTGCAGACCCGTATAGATCCATGGGAGAGACCAGTGCAGACCCGTATAGATCCATGGGAGAGACCAGTGCAGACCCGTATAGATCCATAGGAGAGACCAGTGCAGACCCGTATAGATCCATGGGAGAGACCAGTGCAGACCCGTATAGATCCATAGGAGAGACCAGTGCAGACCCGTATAGATCCATGGGAGAGACCAGTGCAGACCCGTATAGATCCATAGGAGAGACCAGCGCAGAGACTCAGCGCGGACCCAGTAACCTCCTGCAGCAGCAGTATATATGCCGTTGTTCTGTGGCCCGTGGATAAAGAAATGCCCCCTATAAATAGGAAGGGGTCACTAATACACGGCAAGATTTCCAATGTATTTGATAAAGCGTTGGCACATTTCATTTCAAAATGAATTAAAAAGTAGGCCAGATCTGCAGTGAAAAAGGCGGTATATAAATAAAGATTACTAATAAAGATTACTACAAATAAATAAATACATACATCGATATGACGGACATATCACTGGAATGTTGTATTTTTATTCAACTTCACCAAAAAGGACAACCCCGGCGTGTGAACATGTCGGCACTGAATGCGTACGAGTGCTCCTGAGGACTCGTAGGATTTGTACTTGCCCAAGAGAAATTCTGGTTACGAGAAATATTCGTGAATGCCACTTTCTTCGTAAAAACCGCGTAAGTAGGATTTACGTACACATCTGTTCCTAAGAACCGTTCGTGAATGAGGCCCAATGTATCTAAGTAAATAAATGGGGTGACCGTTTTTATGCCAGAAATGCCAACGATTATCCCAGTTTAGACCCATTTGAGTCTAAATTTAAACCAGGACTAAACCAGGACTAAACCAGGTCTAAACCAGGTCTAAACCAGGTCTAAACTAGCCCCTTCTTGCTGTATGATATATTTAAAGTAGTCCCTCCCCTTGACATTATCACCAGTGATATTATTAAAACCAATGTCGAGGGACCTCAAAGTTTCATGTTAGCGCTGACCACTGGAGACGCTGCGGGGGTGAGCGTGGGCGGGGCTAACCACTGAGCGTGTTATCTGTGGAATCGACTTTAGTATTTATTGACGCTTTCGGCCCGCAGCGAGCGCTATCCAATCATCTGATTTGACACGGGTTTGTGTTTTCACCTCTCCTCAAACAAAAGCCACTTGTCCAAAAGTCTGTTTCCATCAGAGTGTGGACACGCTCTTAAGAAAGCAACATAAAGAATTATTTGTCTCTGCCCTTAAACCTGCTCCTCGGCCATTTTAAATCATACGAGTCGACCATAAACCATAAACTGTGATTTCCCCACTGTGGGACTCATGAAGGCGTTCATTCATATAGACGGACAATGCTAACCCGCTAGCTCCACGACGCCCAGTAGAGAAGTGCTCATGGACAGTGCGAACTCCCTTTGGCTCCGATTGATTTTCTCTTGAATCTTAAGTATCTCTGAAACTGATTTACTGTTGTTTTTTTTCTTGCTTTTTTCTGTCTGTAAAAGTTACTGCGATAGAGAGTTGATGGTTTTACGCTGGTCCAGCCCAGAGCAGAGAGGATGGTCCCAACCGAGCAGATGGAGTGTAAATCCACTGTGGGAATTCTCATTTTGTTTTGAACAGTGCTAAGAAAGCATTCAGAATTTCACTCTGAACCAGAGCAGGCAAAACCGTCCGAACCAAACAGACTCCAGCGGCTGCACCACCTGCTGCACCACCTGCTGCACCACCTGCTGCACCACCTGCTCCTACAGGGATCAATAAAGTATTTACCGGCCAACTAACCTTTCTGTCTCTCCCTCTCTCTCTCCCTCTCTCTCTCTCTCTCTCTCTCTCACTCTTTGTCTCTCTGTCTATCTCTCTCTCCATCTCTCTCTCTCTCTCCCTCTCTCTCTCCCTCTCGCTCTCTCACTCTCTGTCTCTCTCTCCCTCTCTCCCTCTCTCCCTCTCTCTCTCTGTCTCTCTCTTTCACTCTCTGTCTCTCTGTCTGTCTCTCTCTCTGTCTCTCACTCTCTCTCTTTCTGTCTCTCCCTCTCTCTCTTTCTCTCTGTCTCTGTCTGTCTCTCACTCTCTCTCTTTCTGTATCTCTCTGTCTCTCTTTCTGTCTCTCACTCTCTCTCTCACTCTCTCTGTCTCTCACTCTCTCTCTTTCTGTATCTCTCTGTCTCTCTTTCTCTCTCCCTCTCTCTCTCTCTCTGAAAGGTGAAGAAGCGACTGCCAGTTTGTTCCAATAAAAAGCGTTTTGTAAAAGTAACATTTTGAGATCAAACCTATTTATCAAAACAATATATTTCCTGCTCTCTCGACCTCCTTTGAGTCACTGTTCGACTGTTTGTGCCGACAGCTGATTGGCCGAGAGAGGGTGCTCCTTTGTTTTCACTTTTCTGTCTGAGAAAGATGATCTAAAGCTGTAACAGACGCCACACACACATCCATGTGAAAAACCAGGGACAGACGCAAACGTTTTTGACAGCGAGGAACTAACAGATCCAGATTATGGATTTCAACCCTGAGTTACATCTTTTGTGGTTTGAAAGTTGGGTACCCCAGCTTTAAGCCATGTGTAATGTGTCTGGGGAACTTCCCAAAAATGTGGAGGCAATTATTTTTGCTGTAAAAGGCAGAAGATCATAAAAAAAAAGCATTTGGCATCACCCAAGTTTGAATAGAGAGCGCTGAGACAGATGGGGAGGGGTGACGAATCCAAGTGTCTCTGTATTTATGCCAGAAACGATTATTCCAGAACAAGCAGAATATTTCGGCTGTTTATGTCCAGTTTTATGTACGACTTTCTTTCCTCTGAATGAGTCGAGTCGTCGGGTTCACACTGGAGGAACTTTGCTCATGTTTTTATACTTTGTTATTTCGCTCAAGTCTGAGATTATGAACTAATTCTTATGCTAAAGTTATGCTAAAGTTATGCTAAAGTTATGCTAACGTTATGCTAAAGATGCTTCTTATTATGCTAAGGCTAGAGATGTTATAAAGTGAGAATTTTTGTTTGATTTGATTTAGTATAGAGTTATAGAAAAGTCATTTATCTTGTGCTCAGGACTAAACCAGGACTAAATCAGGACTAAACCAGGTCTAACTCGGGTCTAAACTCGGGTCTTAACTCAGGTCTGTACCAAGTCTAAGTCCTTGTTTAGTCCAGGTGTAACTCAGGTCTAAATTACTCCTAAACCAGGACTAAAGCACATCGAAACCAGGACTAAACCAGGACTAATCCAGGATTGAAAGCAGGTCTAAACCAGGGTGCTGTGTGCTCCTGTCTGTAACTTGTGATGCAACACTGAAATTTCCCCACTGTGGGACGAATAAGACAATCTCCTTATTTGGTTTTATGTCAAATTGCAAAGAATTTGAATCTGGCTTTGGATCTGGATCTGAATCTGGATCTGAGCAGACTTAAGCCTCTGCCCTCAGTGGCCCTCAGCATCTGTCAGCGGCGGCGGCGGCGGCGGCCATCTTGTATCTGTTTGGTCCAATGAAAGAAGACTCACTCAGAGAAGTGGAAACATCTGCTCTGGTCCGTCCCACACAGTTGTTCTTCTTCTTCACATTGAGTTTATTACAAACTGTAGACAAGTGGACTGACAGAGTGTGACATCACCACAGAGTTAGCCTTAAGGCTGAAGAAAAGTTAAACATTTGTTCCGCCGGCGTTAGCTTTGTGCTGTAACAGGGGCAGATGCGTTGCTAAGACGGTTGCTATGGCGCAAATGTAGGCATATGATTGGTCCTATCTGGATTTACAAAGACAATACTACTACTACTACTTTTATTACTACTACTACTATTACTACTTCTTGTATTACTACTACTACTACTAATGCTACTACTACTACTACTAATACTACTACTACCACTGTTACTTCTTATGGTACATACATTGATAGAAATGTAGTATCTTACATCAGCATGAGCATTGGCCTTTGAGCCTGGAGGTTGTGGATTAAAGCCCACCGCAAGACCTTCTCCACCGACTCCCACTGATGTCTGCTGTCATTGTGTCCATGGGCAAGACACTTAACCCCACTTTGCCTGAAGCCCCAGATCAATGCTGTGCTCTCACTGACCGAGCGAGTTGGAGCCAAACGTTGTCCATTAGCTAGCACAGTTAGCATCATCCATTCATATACAGTCTATGCTTTTTCCCCCTGTTTCAAACATGTCTGGACTGTTTCATATCTGTAATATTCGTGTCTGTGTCGTGTCCATTTCCAACGTGAAGCTTAGAGGATAATCGGTCCACTTGAAGACGTCCCGTTGGAGCTTTCCGTCTGAGGTATTGGAAGTTCCTG